TAGGTATATCAGAAAAATTTTCAAACTGATCAGAAAATTAAAATACTTATATCATCTGAAAGGTAATGCAAAAACCGGATGAAATCATTTGGAATTTTTTAAATATTCCTACAAGCAACAAAGATATTGAAGTTTTTTAACTGCAAAAATCCACCAAAAGTGTCCACACTTCTCAGCTCAAAACCTGTGCCCACTGACCAGCAGTGATCACTCAGGCGCAGCAGAGCACCCTGTGTGTCTTTGTGTGCTCAGCCTATTGTCTGGCTCACATAGCCTGTGACTAATCAGGGCAGAGCTATTTCCCTGTGGTAATTTTCACATCATGTAATATTGCGGATTAAATTAACTATACTTCGCAACCTTCAAATTTCATGATTTTTCTACATAATATAGCAAATTTCATAAACTTTGCTGGATATAAATTTCAAAAAGATGATACCAGCACTTACCTGAAATTTTTTAGCATTTTGTAGAGGCAAAACTTAAAACAAGCAGAACCGAAACTTGTCAAAGACTGCAACATGGGAAAATCATGTGACCGGATTTTACTCTTTGATTTACAACTTATTTAGTTAATGGCTTGAATTAGTTTTTTTACGCAGCGCTAAAAGAGAGATTTAAAAAAGGGGTTCCATAGGCGAACTGTCAGCAGGCCGACTTCAGTTTAACACTTCACTGCCCGTGGATAGTTACGACTGTAGCGCCCCTAGCGGATTGTGATCTACCTAATATCGGCTTAATTTATGAAACGCATAAGAGCAGAAAAGAACGAAATTTATGCCTTACGTTTCAACAACAATGTTATGTAAACTCTTCCAGTACGTTCCAGCATTCAAACTTAATAAGCTTGTACTTCTTACAAGAATCAACAAGTAATTGCGACCTCGATCGTCTTGTCACGGCAAATTTTTTCACCTGTCTTGAAAAGTCAGCATGATTTCAATCTCCTAAAACTAAAGAGCAACACTGCAGATACGCGCCAAATCTTTTCGGAAATAAAGCATTTGAAGACCGTAAAAATTGATTTGAAAATATATCAGTAATCTTTTCCTCATTATATTGTTTAAAAGAAAACAAAATTTAATTTAGAGGTTAGTAGAACCCTATATTATTTGCTCCCATCTTGTGACACAGAAGCATCATGGGAAAAGTGGCACCACGCGTGTTTGTTTTGACAGGTCTGCTTCCCAGATATCGGTACATAAAAAATGAAGTGGGATTTTGTTCTGTATTTACGAAGTTGGATAGGGTTCGTAGGGCTTATGGCTATTGGAAATACCATTCAGTGCTTTTGGGATCATCAGTTCCTTGCCAGCAGACTGTACAATGGGGCTCCTAGCTCTGGTACTAACATGTAGCATTAATATTATTTATTATTATTATTTATATTATACATTCGTATTTTACGATATAAGTAATTTAAAACAGAAGTTAATAGATAAACAATAAACAGTGTAATTTTAACTCGTTATTCAAGTCGCTACACACGCACTTTGACTTCTTGTCAGATCAGTATACTGGAGGGAGGAGAGGGAGTGCAGGATACTTTCAGTATTCCAACATTTTGTAAACATTTTTTTATGCAAGTTTGTATTTCATGCATTTACTACCACCCACCATTGAGTTCGAGCTTATTTCCTGTCCAATCACGTGGTAAAATCCTGAATCCTGTGATTTACTGCTGCAAACCTCTGATAAATGAAAATGAGCGACTGACAAACAATATATAAACGTGTATGGGTTTTCTTGTTATTCCCTTTTTGGTTTTGAATGAAGAACTCAACAATCCAAATTCAAGTTTTATTTTTAAAACTTTGGTCAACTGAAAAAAATTGAAAAAAATTAGTAATAAATACATGTAACTGGACAATAAAAGATTGCTGGTAATTAGAAATTATATTTGCTTTAGCTGAACATTTGCTTATCAGGCCTACCCAACTACCAGACTCGGCACCGAATGATCCAGAATTCACCGGTAGATCAGACCACACTACCCGTTTTCAAGGTGTATATCAGATCGCATTACACAGTATCATACCCTGAACAAATTTTGAGTGGTGATGCGATGCTTTTCAACCCCGCTGCGAATAGTCACTATCACATTGCGTACTAGGCAAGAGTGGTGTCGCGTCTGATACTATGTAATGCGATCTGATACACACCTTGAAAACGGGTAGTGTGGTCCTATTTACCGGTGAATTCTGGATCATTCGGTGCCGAGTCTGGTAGTTGTTATAGACACAGAAAAACAGTAGTTAAGTTTGAGTGTCACACCTTAGAAGGTGTAAAGGCTTGAGGAATGAGAGCATGTACAGGCCTACCCAACTACCAGACTCGGCACCTACGGATCCAGAATAAACCGGTATATCAGACCACACTACCCGTTTTCAAGGTGTGTGTCAGATCGCATTACAGAGTATCATACCCCATCACAAATTTTGTAAGCCTACCTGTCATCTGGGTATCGCTCCTCGTTTTCGTCAAGTAGGAGTCATGTGAATACAACAACATGGAAATCGGCTATCCTCAGCTCATTCCGCAAGCTCCATACTATTGCCGAGTGCGGAGACATCGGAGTAGTTCCGAGTGACAACATGGCGACAGACGACTCACTGAATCTCGTCCAGAAAATATTTAACCCCCGACAGTATATGCTTCTGCTATCAAAATTAGGTCTACTTTTCTAAATGAGTATATAAGTTTGCAAGTTCTTATTTACAAAACATCATTGGCTATGTTCGAACCTAATTTTTATGTTAAAATTGCGGTATTGTCAGATTTTTAGCATAAACAGGGAAAATTGCAGCAGCGCATGAATCTAGATGAGATGCACTACTTTCCAACCCAGCTTTAGACAACGGTGGAAGTGAAGAACAAAAGATTCAGACGTGGTGTAACTCTCATAACCGCACGTCTCGCATGAATGCGTTATAACCCGCTAATGGACCCGTGGTCTAAATAAGATAGATCCCTCGTCAGCGAGGGTTATGTGACATCCACTCGTGCTTCGCACTCGTGTATGCCACATAACCCTCACTGACTCGGGCTCTATCTATTACTACGATTATCGCTATCACATCGCGCACCAGGCAAAATCGGTGTGGTGGCTGATACTCTGTAATGCGATCTGACACACACCTTGAAAACGGGTAGTGTGGTCTGATATACCGGTTTATTCTGGATCCGTAGGTGCCGAGTCTGGTATTTGGTTAGGCCTGATGTATGAGCTTTCAGTGTTGAGTGAGAGTAACGCTTGAGTGCTCAATATAATTAAACCTCCTGACCAGAATAATGACCAGTTATGAATATGCATATTCATAATGACCAGTTATGAATATGCATGGCCTGCCCCTCCTCACCATTATCAATACCAAACAAAATTCTAATCTCATCCTAAAATAAAAATAATGCAAACAAAATTGTAATATCATCCTAAAACAAAAGTAATACTAAACGAAATTCTAATTTCCTTTTGGAAACAAAAAGTGCCTAGCATGCATAAATATAATACTATAAGGTTTTTATTACGTATTATATTGTAGTAAATGGCCTGGCAGCTCGCTTGTTTGGAGTCTGGACACTTTTGGCTGGCATTCTTAGGATATGGTGTGCAATATTCACATACAATCGACCGTAAGTACATATAATATAAAATGTTATAAATAAATAGTTCTTTATGTCTAAGTCTTGCTTCTCCTTTCACAAAATATCTCAAGGCAACCGAAAGACTTAGCTAAACCATTGTAACTTAATTGTAATCTGCAAGAAACTGTAGTCCATTTTCCATTTCTTTGGCCTCATTCAGAATGGGGGACTAAGGCCCTATTCAGAACAGATGATTTTAGTACTTACTGATCCACCCTCTAAATATGGCGACCACAGATCAAAAGCAATGCTGCTGATTCCTAATGGTCTCCCTGACCCCACACACGTCTTTAAATGGATTAAAACTCTGCTCCAAGGTTTAAATGCTAGGCCCCTGCAGCGATGGCACATGTGGAGGCGGGGAGACCATCAGGAATCAGTGTCATCACTTTTGAACTGTGTATTTTTAATGTATTTTCAGGTTGTATGATTTGACACTGTTCTCCTTTGTCCTAGCCTTTTTGCACTTTTCATCAGAGGTGTTCATCTTTAAAACGGCTCACCTAAGTGTAGGTGTTATGGCCCCATTAATTATATCTGGTGAGTTTGACCCATGGTACTGATCTATCTTTCTCCTTGTGGGGGGTATTTCAGCACTGTCACACACTTCTAAAATATTTTGCTTTACAAAATTACATAAAAAAGTTTGTGTACTTCTATACAAACGGTCAAGAGATAGTCCAAAGAAATATTACTTTTAATTTTGGGGTGAAATTTGTCAAGGAAAATAGTAAGTAATTAAACCATGTAAAATGGTGGACATTCAGTGTACCAGATAAATAATTTTCTTCTTCAGGGATTTCATTTGTATTGATGGCAGCTGGATATGTTCCCATTTTTGGCTCTGCTGTAGAAGAAAGCAAACAAGATGATGCAGAGGAGTTCAAAGACTTCTTGAAAACATTTAAATCACAGTCAAGAACGAAAAAATCCAGTTGATATCTGTATATCTAGTCATGACATGTGTTTTGAACAATTTTGGTGAAAAGGGGAATAACCTTGCCTTGCTGTGATGCCAGTGCATAAAATAGACCAACAGAATCAAAACTTATAAGCTATACATTTCATTTATTCTTCTGATGCACATACCATTAACTTTCAATTGGTGCCCTTAAAAATATGTAAAAAAATTTCTAAATAATCTAAACAAAGTTTTTATGTGCAAAATTTGTTATGCCTTATACTACCTGAGATAACTGCTGCCTTGGAATAAGAATTATCAGTAATGGATCCAACATATTATCACTTACAACATTCCTTCAAGAATTGAAGTTTGGTCAACTTTTACAAAAATCCCTGTCAAAATGGGCACATGTAGATGTATGATTGAATAATTAATTGAATGTAAATAAATGCCAACTACTGGCGAAATAAAAATAAGTATAATTCATTGCATCTTATGCAGTTATAGAATATACACAGGTTTATCTTATTTGACAGCCATTCACTCAAGTTAAAACAACCATTTACAAATTATATTTTTATACATCAAATGCAAAAATTCATTACAGTAGCATGTCTCACTCCAGTACAAAGCCCTATAATAACTGAATATCAAATGATTCAGAAATGCTATATTGCAGTCATGGACAAATAAAATATTTCATCAAGTGTTAAGGTTCCATGTGCCTTTGAGATAAACTTTGTATTGAATCTTCAGAATTGTATGATAAAAAAATATAGATATAAAACTTAATGGACATCAAACAAAAACAATACCAAATCCAGAAAATAAACACTCTATTGGAGACCAATAAATGAATGACTTCTTTTAATAAATAATATAAAAATTATTTACCAAAGGTTATATTTTGTCTTGTTAGAGATCGTTTCTGAACATGTACAAATGAAAAAAGTTGATATTTTATACTTCCTACAAGTCAAGAGGAAGATGCAAGTCAAACAAGTCATTGAAAAATGATCCCTCATTATCACCACCACCAAATATCAATATTTCTTCCTTGTCTTGGTTTTCATTTTTGTACGGCAAACACTGAATAGTGTGTCCCACTCTAGCAGGGATACCAAAGTCTATGTTTACACAAGTCCAAGCCATGGTGTCTAAAAATAAATTAAAAAGTAATAAATGTAAAATCAAATAAATGTATGTGTAAAATTTGTATTTATCATTTTGATCTTATACAAGTGTGCAAACACTAGGTGAACATCACTACTACTATGTGGGAAATGATTACAGCTACAGAGATAGATTATTTAAATCAAGGTTAACCCAAATTTATTAATTAACACAAACACCTCAAACCAAGGTGATTCTACAAATTTAGAATGATTGTAAACCACAGAGACAAAGTCAGGCAGATTGTAAAACTCACCTAGATTAAAGATGAAGGAATCATCCATGGCATTATTACCATCATAGCCTCCATGAATCAAAACTCTCTTCCCTGTTAAGGCACAAGCAGCATGCCAACTGCAAGAGGAAATTGCCACATTTACTGGTTAATAACTATATTCCATGGAATTGTATTATTTAACCAAACTTTAAATGGCCAGCTAGATCTTGTACAATTGAGAAATCTTTTCACTAAACAACTGGAGTACATACCTTCGTGGAGCTGGTGGAGTGCCATTAACATTGGGCTTGGTCCATTCAACAAAACCTAAGAAAGCAAATCAAGCATTTATTGTCATTTCATCTATGTAACAAAATGGATTCTACAAATCTTTATCATTTATAAAGTTTTCATATTTTCAGTCTTAAGACTCTTAATTTAAGTGTAAATCAAGAGTCTCTACACAGGACTGGGAGTGCAATGCTCTCAAGTTGTAAAATATTTTGCTTATCATGTTTTAAACAATATAATAATATAAAGAAAATTGAAGCTGAATCATGTTTTACAAGTTAAAATGTATGGAGCTGCCAATCCTGTAAGAAGCCTGCCCCTTGCTGTTAGACATCTTACCCATGTCAAGGATATGTACATCACTGAAGCACACTGGGAAATCCCAACCTCCAAATACTACCAGTTGATCTCCAATAATAGTTGCAGAATGCCTGAAGATGATAGTTGTAAGTTTGCAAATATTGAGCATCATGTAACTTTTTGCCAAAAGTGCTTAAGTATACGATAAAAAAGTGAAATCCACAATTCTTGGTTACATCTTACCTGTTTAACCATAATGACAGATAACATCCCTAATAGTTTAATTAATTCATGATTTTTTTATATAACATAATAATTCTGAAAGGAACAAATCTAAATAATCCAACAAAGTTATACCCTGATCTTGGTTCTGGTTTCTCTCCTGTCACTATGGGATTATACCAACTTTCCATGACAGGACTGAAGATCTCTATCTCATTACTGCTCCCATCTGGTTGTGGGTCTGGTCGAGGGAAAACACCACCAAACATCCACAGTTCATGTCGGTACAGGGTTGCTGTGTGGTATGCCCTGGTTGGAGCTTTACCATTTGCCTTTAGAAAGAACATTTAAGATTGGATTGATTTGATGGACAGAGATTCAAAAATTAAGTGACAGGTTCTTTTATCCAAAAATGAGGGAGGCAAGCAAATAAATAATGACCAATAGCACCAATCTTATTGACCATTAAGAGGAGTTTTAATTAAAATTTAAGAACGGAGGTGTGACTAAAAAAAAAAGGGACAGTTCCCACATTATATCACAAGTTTTATAATTCTCACCTTTACCAGTTGCCACTTCAATTCATCCAGCTCTAACACATGCACATCACTGAACCATTTGACGTTCTTGGACCCACCATATATGTAGATGCACCTCATCACAGGGTCATATGTAGCAGTGTGCCCCATCCTAGCTTCTGGGTTTGGGCCAACAGATGTAGTCTTAAGAGGTCTCCACTGTTTGGTCTCTAATGGTTTTAATGATTCCCAGTAAGAACAATTTCAGTTGTGTAATGTAGAAGAAATAATAATTAAGTGAAATGTCATATCTATTTGAAAAATTTTAAGAGCATGTGTACATTATTCTATGGGTCATCACCAGCTTTGTGACCTGGAGGATGGGTAGCTGATCTTACCAACAGAGCTTTTTCCATAGATCCTGCCCTACATAGCCAACTCGATGTCTATCTTTGAGTATGTAAGTTTTTATTGTTACCATTTAAAAATGTAAAAGATAACTGGACAACCCTGCATAAAAAATCCCAGTGTGCATACCAAATTTTCCATTTGGTTAAAAATTCAGAAAGAAACCCCTTTTGAAAAAATTCATTAAATTTTAAAAATAATAATTTGAATTAAAGCTTTACCTCCCAAAATTTAAATTATGACCTCAAAAACCCACTTTAATTCAATACTTTGAGTGTTGAATAAATTGGGGGATTTAGGGAGAAGTATCAACCAAAATGATCAATGTCCTTCATCTTATATTTAACACAACTGCCTTGTCACTTAATACCTGTATGTTTATTATTATTTTATAAAATGATTTACCTGTCTGAAGTTCCCAAATACTGTCCTTGCTCAACACTTGTTTGTCACCCTGTCCACCAATGATGATGGCATTTGGTGGCTCTGTGAAGCAGAATGAGTGACCCCATCTTGGACTGGGATGAGGACCTGGTATAATATATGCACATAATCATTAACCTGACATACAAGCTTGAAGGTGTATGGATTAATTTTTCAGAACTCGACACCTTGGCAAGTGCTTCATGGCTAGTACTCTCCAAAACCTTTTAGCACTCGTCAAAATATTTAGGTGCCATGAATACATATATTATAGTATTTTTAATGAAATAGAAGTCCTTTTTATTATGATGTCCCTTTTGTAGAACCATGTGATGCCTAAATTGAAAACTGTAATAATTATGAAAATAAAATATATAAGTAGAGAGACACTACACCCCAATGAAGAACTGAACCCACAACTTCCTGACCCAGAGCCAAGCACTCTACCATTTGAGCAATACCACCTATTCATGTAGCAGTCCCAGATGCAAGATTTAACCAGTCAGAGACATAGTTATGTGCTACACATGGTTAACAAATAAACAAACAAATATGGCTGTGGTAATTCTAGTTTCAGAAATCCTCAAAAAATGGATAAAAATATCAGTATGGCATAATGACAGATAATATGAGGAATACGTAACACACATTTTTACTCCAAGAAAATCCACATTTTAACACTCAGACAGCACTAGCCAACGTGGCAAATCGTTCATTGCAAGTACTTATCAGTACCGGTTGACACTTGCTATACTGTGTTGGCTATGTTACTGCTAAAACATATTGGATAAAATAACTTGTTTATCCAACTTTTAAAAAATTTAAAGAAACAAAAAGTCTTACCACCACTTTTACAGGATTTAGCTGATCTGCATACTTTCTGAATTTTCTTTTCAGATTTGGGAGATTCTTCTGAATGTTCTTTCAGCGAAAAAACATCTTTTAGAGGAGTGATTGCTGTATTAGGTTCAACAGCTGACATATCATCAGCAGAAAGTTTTTTAGTTGAAGCACTCCTTACTTTCCTCTTGCCTTTTGGTTTCTTGCTATCTTTAATGTTAGGGGTTCTCAACCCAATATTTAATTCCCCTGAATTTTCTTTTCCATGTGCATCACAAGTATCTGAGGACATGTCTTTGTCTTGCTGAAACAACTCTTTTACTCCAGAAATGTCAACTGTAAGTGTTTCCTCTTTGACCAACGGCTCTTTGGCTTCTTCGGGGCTTTTGAAGAATTCCTTGAGAGTTCTTACACGAGTTGATGGTCTCCGGTTATCTTGTACAGTGGGAGTTGACTTCTCACTGTTCAACTTCCTTCTTTTACTATCTTTTACTGGTCTTACTGGACTTGAAGACAGCTCCATCTGTAAAAAAATAACTTTTATAGTAATGACCTTATGTGGACTCAAAGTAATCACAGAAAGACATTTAAAGGAATTCAAAATAAAATTATTAAAAAAATGTCTAATTGACAGAGAACAATCACAAGTTTTTTGAGCCAAACATTTGCATACAATGTAGATCACAATTCATAGCTTGTTGGGATGTAAGATATGCTTGCATACATTGCAGTACTATTATACAGTAGTAGGCACTGGCTGCCAGTCCACTTGCTAATGTACTAGTACTGTACCTCTTTCAGCACAGGAGTAACCTCTTGATGGTCTTTTAAATTGCTCTCCATGGAGGTAGATGTTACAGCACTGAAATAATGATATCACTAAGAGTAATAATTAAATGGGAAGGCAGAAAATACAGCTTACAGTGCACTGGCCTATTTTTTCTGAATATTCAAACAGATATACAGGATGCGTGATTCAACTANACTGTAAGTGTTTCCTCTTTGACCAACGGCTCTTTGGCTTCTTCGGGGCTTTTGAAGAATTCCTTGAGAGTTCTTACACGAGTTGATGGTCTCCGGTTATCTTGTACAGTGGGAGTTGACTTCTCACTGTTCAACTTCCTTCTTTTACTATCTTTTACTGGTCTTACTGGACTTGAAGACAGCTCCATCTGTAAAAAAATAACTTTTATAGTAATGACCTTATGTGGACTCAAAGTAATCACAGAAAGACATTTAAAGGAATTCAAAATAAAATTATTAAAAAAATGTCTAATTGACAGAGAACAATCACAAGTTTTTTGAGCCAAACATTTGCATACAATGTAGATCACAATTCATAGCTTGTTGGGATGTAAGATATGCTTGCATACATTGCAGTACTATTATACAGTAGTAGGCACTGGCTGCCAGTCCACTTGCTAATGTACTAGTACTGTACCTCTTTCAGCACAGGAGTAACCTCTTGATGGTCTTTTAAATTGCTCTCCATGGAGGTAGATGTTACAGCACTGAAATAATGATATCACTAAGAGTAATAATTAAATGGGAAGGCAGAAAATACAGCTTACAGTGCACTGGCCTATTTTTTCTGAATATTCAAACAGATATACAGGATGCGTGATCAACTATTTGTCATCTTTAGGTCGTAGCTCTATATTGTTAACTTTAGTGCTTTACTAGCACCGCTAGAGTATGATTTTTACTGCTACACCCCTTCCAATCTGTATATCATCCAAATTATCACGACCCACAATGAAGGTGAACTGCTCACCAAATTGGCGGTTTACTTAACAGGTCACGAAAAGTGAAATCAATAAAATCATATGCACGTAATCTAACCTCAACTTAGCGCAAATGTGCTCACTGTCAATGATTAAAGTATCATTTCCGTACAAATTACTGAAGTAAACGAATGTATATATCTTACCTTGCAGTTGTAAATGGCGCGCACCGGCGGGTTTCCCGATGGTTGAGTTTATTTCTAAAAGGGGTTTAAGGTTATATCCATATCTTTAATTTTTTCCATTGAAATGTTTTGATGGGTAGGTTATGTTCTCTTTGCTGTAAACATACATCAAGTATTATGGATAAAGGGAAAAACAATGTATATCTCAATATACCTGAAAATAATATTTATAAAGTATTGTGGACAATTTTTGCCACTTCACCCCTCTCCCACTTTTGTGTTCTGTGGCTGAGCCTCTGTTTCACCGTATACATAACTTCGGTCAAATCGACCTTATCAATAGCAACCACTCGGTAATTTTGCTTACTCATACCTGGAAAACAACATTTGAGGTGCAACGTTCTAGTGATGAAGCCAGTTAAAATACACATTATTTATTGGTAGGTATATAATCTAAGTGTTCGTTAGCTTCTTTTACAACCAGGCACCGTCGAGTACGCCCTTTTACCCTAAAGTAGTAAGGAGCCTCTACCTTAATTGTCTCACGCCATGTCATCGATTGTCAGTGATTTGGAAAGCTCATTACGGCATTAGAACTTGGCACGTTTCACTGTCATGCGATCCTCAAAACAGGTATATTCTTCCGCACGTAAGAACATCGACCATGTTTTGGAGCCTTTTTTTTCCTGAGCACTGTTCAAATGCCCTAGCTAGCTAGACGGGATTATAAAACTGTCAAGAAAGCTTCAATAAATTACCGTATAAAGTGCTCATTCTCCTTTGTTTTGATTCAACTTCAAACAAAGATGTCTTCCCCTAGAAAATTTAACGTGGTAAATGTTTTTGATGCAACTGGGCACAGGTATATCTTTTCCTTTATAGATAGGGGACATACACTGTATATATATATGAGCTTTACATAATATTTTTACATGAAGATAAAAATTGCTTCCTGCCTGAAATACTATTATGTGTTCAAATTACATGGACTTGGATTTCGAATATAATTTCATATATTGCATTTTACTTTGAATTTGTCTATGTAGGCTATAAAGTTGACTTTAATTTAGGAAAACCCCTTTGTGTTGCTTAACATTTCTTTTACTATGCCTTAGTAGAGTTAATCTCCAAACCATCACAAATTTTGATATACTAGTACAGCTGTCAGTATGCCAGATTCACTGTCCAGTTTGCTTATAATTTCAGTGGTGCCTGAGGGTATGCGCCAAAGGTGAGTATGCAAATGTTTCACCAGTTTTGCAAGATTCTTTTCATTTGGTTTCTCAAAGAAGTTTAGTGTCAAACTTGTAAGTTAACATTCCAGATTAAAATCTTTAATCTGTTGAGAAGTTAAGAAATGAAACTGGATTTGGATTTCTATTTTATTCCCAATAAGAAAAATAAAAGCAATTTATAATGTGAGATATATATGTACCAGGTCCGGTTTAGTGAGCACTAACATTGCATAAGGACAGAGCATAATTCTTTTATTTCTTCTATCTTCTTTATTTCAGTTCCGGCGTCTAAAAGCAGACCTGGAGCAAGAATTTGGCACGGATGTGGTGATTGTAAGTAAAAAAAAAAATTGGTCTGTTAATTTGCATATTTATATTTGTGTGTAGGGCATTATCTGATATTGAAAATGTTTAAAATCGCTGCTGCTATTTATTTTTAAACAGTTATTTTTATTTTCACAAGTAGTGCTTCCAGGCCAAGAGAATAACAATTACTGATTTTTCTTAAAATGTTGATGTTAAAGAGGGCATTGCTGAAAATCAACCTTTGTTGCTACATGTTTATTTCCAGTATTATATTTTCATTGTTGTGTTTGGTTTATATTGTGAAATGTAGCATTGGTTATTAAATTTTTGTAAGACATGATAAACAGAACATAACAATTTGACTCATTTCGGTAAGATTTGATAGTTAAAAAGTTTGCCATTCAGTTTAGATGCACATATCTCATTATCAGACAGGTGAAGGGACTCCTCAAGCCACTGGCTATTTTGAAGTGCAGATAGAGAATGGAAAGCTTCTCCATTCCAAGAAGGTAAGAGATACATTTTTTGTGAAACTTTTGCTGGATACAGGATGTACCAACTGTGCAAAAGCATTTGCCTGCAGAGTCTAAGAATAAACTGTTTGTTATTGAATAATCACAAAAATTGCATTCATTGTCTTGAGTTCACAAACTGATCATAAGAGCCACATGACATATTTTTCTTATTAGCTTCACTTTGTCATTGGTTTTATATTCAAATCATCATTAACTTAATAAGCCTTATTAGTAAATTGATATCATGTTCTTATAGAATGGTGATGGCTATGTGGACAGCGAGGCCAAATTTCATAAGATTACCAAAGGTATTGAGGAGGCTTTAAAATCCTAGAGGACTACATTCACAACTACAAGGGTGAGCACATATTTGAAAGACACCTTTTTTATACCCGTTCTTTTGAAATATATATATATAATTTTTGAAGACTTTGGTACATAATAATATTTATACTAGGAGTGTTTAATTCATATATTATGTGACATGGTTCATTTTATGAAAGCCTTTCTTTTGTAGGTTTGACCTGGTTCTATTTGATCAAGTCGGCTTTCTATGATTGATTAGTCTGAAAGTTTCACAAGGACTATTCCTGATGCCCCAAGCTGGTTTGACACAAGATGATAACATGGACAAACTCTTGTTGATATGTTTGTTCAAAACAGTATTATGAAATGCTGATAAAATGTAATGTAATCTCAGGAAATATTCAAATGTACGCTTTCTCTAATCTTTTTTCTCTATGAACTGTGATACAGCTGCAAGTGTTGCTTTTAAAATGAAGAGTTTGTCAATTTTAACATGATTAACTGTGCTGTAAATTAGCACGAAGTTTCATGCGTTGGTGCTCCTATATTCAGTATCTTTTATGTACTACGGTATTTGTTTTAACTCGTGATAAATGAAGGTACTTTCAATAACTTTCAGTAAGCAAGGACCAGCTAGCAACTGCGCTTGGTGTCGACAATTCTTATAAATCTTATGCTCCCCTGTCACTTAGGAGTGTGCGACAGTATAACTGTCGACAGCCCTGTGAATAAGTTGAGTAATGTGCTTGACCATTAGTTATGCCGCCATGAAATCGTACGCCCATTGAAGGTTGCTATGAACCGATGTCATTTTACCGTTATAATAGGCAACCCCTACACTCTGACGAGAGAGTCTGCTAGTAGTTTATTACAAAATTGTTGTAATATTTTTACTTTAATTTTGTATACTACTTAATTTTAGAGGTTCTTGATATCTGAGGGTGGGTAACCCCTATATTTCATGCGTTAGCCTAGTTGGTTCTTCGATTGGACAGATTAGAGATCTAAGCAAGAGTTGCGCTTACGCATGGAACTTCGTGCAATCTTTATGTCCGTCTTTTGATATATTTTGCAGCGGCTTTAAAATATTTTATAATGAAAGTTTTTACGTTTAGAATAGATGAGGCATGTTCAAATTTATCAATTTATATGGTGATCCAAACGCACACCTCCCGAAATAAAAATAAATACAAAATAACATTCGTCTTTTATATTTAATACAATGTAGTACATTTTATATATTTATTTGCTCAATACAGTGCACAGTTATCTATTTCTACAAATATAAATATATTCAAATATATATATATACACACATAAATATCACAAATTTCCTACATATAACTTGGGTCTTTCTTCAATGATATGTCCTCTTTATCAAAATAACATGGAACGTGTAACCCATTCAGTTCTTGCCTATTGTATGGAGCATGTAGCAGATTTGGTTGCCGTTTGCAAGTGGGGAGAAAGCTTCGATCTTTTGTTACTACTTAACCTTTCAATAACCTGAAAAAAGGTAAATAGTCAGTGTTTTTTATATGCATCGATTTTTATTCATGCCAATAAAGGTCAATTCACTTTCTTTTTCCAAAGTGCAGGAAATGCGATGGTTAACTTTCTTTGCTAGATTTAATTTACATTATAACTTCATGCTTCACACCTTCGAATATTTGACAAGACCAGCTCTGTAATGATTCAGTTCGTACAATTTGATTTGAAACTTTGCTCACAACCGTATTGATGTTATGACGGCACTTACCGTTAGAACTTCAAGAAAATCCAGGTAGCCGTTTTTATCCGTGTCTATGCTTTCTAAGATTTCTTCAAGTTGTTTTTTGGTAAACATCATGTTATTTGCCGTGAGAATATTGTCCATTTCCGAGAGGTCAATCACCTGGAGATAATATTGAAAAGACATGCATTAATTACATAAAATGTTGCTTTCAAATGGAAGGAACTGGACTTTTCATATCGTTAAACACCATAGGGTTTACCGACCTTTATTTTGGAAGTCATTAGATGATTTCCATTCTTTCTCCACTTTTTTTTTTTAATTATTGGGGGTCTCGGAAACAGTACGCCCCAGAATAACGTATTTACGTCTTACTCACTTGGTCTCCATTTGTGTCAGCCGAAGTGAATCTTTTTTCAGCATCCAAAATTAAAGACAAGCTCAACCCTGGAAAGTGCTCTGCCAGCATCTGACAACATGGAAAAATGGGATAATATTTAGTTTCATTCTTTTCAAAATTAAAGAAAAATTGAAATATATTCTTTGTACCCTAAAAATGATAAAAACAGAGATATCACATTGTATTTAAGGTAAAACATTAATAAAAATATATAAATTATGTAACCAAAGGCACAAGCACTTCGTGGTGATTATTTTATGGCGCTTCTCTAGTTGAGTTCAAACGCTTCTTGGCATAGACGAACGGCCGACTTAACAGACATTTTCTATGGATCTCTCGTCGGAAGACGGTCAAAAATTTTCAAGTTTACACTTTACATTTTACATACAGTTTACATTTACATTTAGCCAGCGTTCTCATTGGAGACAAACAAGAACCAATCGAACTTGATTAAAAGCCATTGGGACTGGAAAAAATAATGGAAAATTGCTTAAAGCTTAAGTTACCAACTGACTTTGTAAAGAAAATCATAAAAGAAGGAGGAAACGATATGGCCGCGGGAAAACGCATGGTCAACGCTATTCCAGTTTAATTTTTTTCTAAGGGTTTAATCCTAGGTGATTATATTGTTCCATGTTTTTTGAAATTAAAATTAAAATTTTGCAATTATTACCAGCCATATACCAGGTATACATATGTGATCGCCTACCATTCACTAGCGCTGAGAGGATTTAGCTCCGTACTCTTCCTTTGCAGTTTCCAACAGTTTGCAATTATTTCACATTTGATGTTTGAGAGAAGATGAAGGAAAGGGGGGATGAAATACTTACATTATAATAAGCATATGAATCTGTGCTGAGTTTTTCTCTCCCAAAGACTTTTGGATGCCTGTGCGACGGCGAGTCTTGGCTACTTGGAGTCTTGGTATTTTTTGGGGTGGGTTTCTTCGCTTCTGCGGCGTTAGAGTTCTTTAACGGAGGTAACTTGCCTTTAGGCTTTGGTTTCTGAACGTAAATATGACATCATAAATCAAAACGAATATCGTAAAGAATGAAATGCGAGTGTATTCAAATTAGAAACGATGTAAAATTACAAGTTAAAAATAACATTTGAAAGTTAAAATTGCTGCCATGGGATTGTTTTTGACATTTATTGTATATTGATGTTCATAATTTCTCATTAGGTTTCTCTGTCAAAAAGTTCGCCGTTTCCCCACTGTCATCGCGGTTTTTTAATAAATGACACAAGTTGACAATGAAATAATTAGCAATGCGCAGTAGAGCTTTAGATACCAGTTAATAATTATAATAATGTTCCTTAAAATGTGAACAATTTCTCCATAATGTCGTGAAAATTCCAAACTTGAAACCGATTTGCAAGCTCTAGCTGTTTTTACATTTACGAGTAAAATTCACCTCTCTTCATCTTGTAAAAATCAGAAAATTATAACGCAAGAACGGGTTTACAGATCACTATTTTATCAGAGGTTTTAGATATACCTGGTTGGTCATAAGGGGGAAAATGAACGAATTTCCAGGAAATTATTTTTCATTCTATTATTTTAATTATTATTTTAGCTATTTTTTACAATTTAGAGATATAGCGTTCTTTAGTGTCCCGACAATCGTTATCATAAGGTTATCGTGACATTTGCCTCATGAAATATTGTTCACGCCAAGGGGAAATTAATAATAGCCGGCTCAAAGTCTTCGACCCTAATAAAAGATTCAGTCAGCGTGTTAAGCGATATTAGGTTGATAACGTGTGTGATGTAATCGTCGATAGACACGCAGCCATAACAATATTTTCCTTACGCTACATATATAAAAGACAGTAACAATTCGGTGTTATGGTACTTTAAATATGTATATGCGTGGCCTGCGTTCTACTGAATAATGCAATACCACAACTACATTCTCCACAACTAGCAATGCTAAAATCACAAACAATGGAACAAGTCAAGTTGTAAAAACGCCGTTTCCATGGTGTGTCGATACTGCGTGTAAATAATCTTGACCGATAATACTAAATTGTGACAGCAATAAAATGATAGAATCGATTGGGCCCAATATATGGTAACAGCTAGTGGCATGAATTGCAAGGACTGTAAAAAGATCTCCTTGAAACAAGTCCATATAACTACACACTGAATCTTGAATATTGTGGTCAAAAGTTTGCGTCTTAGAACTGGGATTTAAGCTTACATGTACGTGCATCCATTCTAAGATTAACGAAAGTAAAGCCTAGGGTAAAATCACAATTAAAGAGATAGGCCTAGGCCTACAATATTTTACAAATAAAAACTAACTCACAGTTGCGCTCGTTTGTCCCACTACGGTCTTGCTTTTTAATTGTTTGAGCTGAAACAAGAATATTCATAAAACGCTGAGTCATGTTATAAATGTATTTTTCTTTATTCCAGGTTTATATTCAGTTGTTAACACAGTCATTTGATGACAAACTAATGCCTAATAGGTGGCAAACGAACAATTTTGTAAAAGGCACCAAAGCGACATGAAAAGTAGGTGTATATCTGCCCAGCAGTGATGTAAAATAGGGGCGATGATATTTTTAATACATATACATTTCAATCTCACCTCTTCTTCTAAGGCTTCAATTTTTGTCAGCAATTCGTAATTTTTTCCGTGCGCTTTTGCGAGTTCCAGTTCTTTTGCTTTGAGACGGTCTCGTGCAGCATCTCTTTCTAGAATGTATTGCACAAAGTCGTGGTTTACAGATTTCTCTGTCGTTTGTTCAGCGTCAGTTTCTTTTCCGTTTTCAGTGGGATATTCGGGGTTAAATCCGACGAAATGTTTATCAAAACTGAAAGACATGTCATGGCGCTTTAGCGCTTCGCTAGTATCCACCGCTTCTTCGCTATTTAATTGCATAGTTTTAAATCATTGGTTGGTATCGTGTCAAAAACGGCTCTTAAATCATTGATTGGTATCGTGTCAAAAACGGCTTTTCATGTACACGCTGCCCTACGCCCGGCCGTACGCCCGCTACGCGTACGGTATTTAATTTGTTGACTAAAATTTTTATATTTTTCGCACGTGAAAGTCCCCTTTCAACTACTTTTATAGCAACCCACTTATATTTATTTTGTTCTTGATTTGCACTGACGAGTGCGTCATAAAGTAGAGATCTTAAAGTGAAGAACAAGCTTCATTGTATTAAGCTCAATCAATATAATAGCGTTTTCCAAAGGGCCAGTGTGAGAGGGAGCAACGTCGCCTATGTCAACAAGTACTTGCCTAAGAATCTCGCGAGATGATGACGTCAAATTAATGTTGGATTGTGTATTTTATTTCACAGATAAACCATACAAACCATGGTATTGTATATGCAGGAAATAAACTAAAACGTGTAGCATACCTTCCTAAGCCACTCATATGTGTAAGGAGATAATTATGAGAGGTGTTGATTTTTAAATCATTTTTAACACTTAACGTAATTGAATTCTCCCAGTCGGAATGACGTCACAACCGGAAACAGTCCCTAACAACCAACCGCGTGGGGGCTAAATCGGTCGTTAAGCGCCATCTCGCCATGTGCTACAATGAAGACGTGACCAAAAAGCTCTGCGAAAAAAAGTGATTTTCATATAGTTCAAGAGTGAAAATAGAGTTTGAATATGAGGAAGGTCTTCGTCCAGATTCACCGAGCAGGTATAGGGCAAAACTTGATCTTTGTGGGCATTATATTTGTCCTTACAAGCTTCCAGCAGATGAGTGGAAAATGATCCCAAACAATCGCCAGACGTGATATTTTCATCTTTTTGGTCAAGGCCCCAAGTAAGTATATAGGGGCCTACTTTAAAAGTCCATCTAAATAAGATCAACACTACTTTCTGTGCTTTTTTTAGGTGTTTGGTTATCCATTTACTAGTATTTATGGAGAAGAAAGCGTGAAAAATTTCAATAAAACGTAGGCCCTACCGATGACGATGTTTATCATAACGTTCCAAGCATTGATATCACACACTAAATATTTTTATTCACCCTATCGTAGTTTGAACGAATTGCTGAGCGGAAATAAAGAATTGAATAAAGAATAAAATTGAATTTTACCTTCCTTACTAGTATGCATTCCTTACTAAGAAAGTAATCATCTTGCCTGGTCAGTGATATTAGACACTTACCTGTAGTTGCATGTAGTACTTCTGTCATTGGCAGCCCCTTTGTTGTTGGTGTTTAGATGACCGAGTTTTTATTTACTTCAAGGTTAATTTGAAATACAGAGGCAGATTTAAAATTGTCTGTTTTTTGTACAAGTGAGTGTGTGTCTTTTTATTGAACAGCACTTCATTACCTGTCTCTAAAATTGGAAAAATGTTGGAATTACTTTCAGGGTTGCACTCACTGGAAGCCATGGAAAACTATCGTTCCTTGGAAGCTCACACCTTCTTCACATCTTGTTGGGCCCAGACAGCATACCATGTTGTGACTCAGAGTGTATGGATACAAGTGCTCATTTTTTTTCAGTCCTACATATGTGTGTTTGAATTTAAGTGGTCAACTTTTTTTCTCAGTCACACGTTGTGCAATTGCATACAAGCGCTCAGTTCTTTTCTCAGTCACACATTATGCAATATGTGTGTATGAATGGAAGTGCTCAGTTTTTTTCTCAGCCATACATTGTGCAATATATACATATATGTGTACATTATTAAAATAAGTGTCCAGTTTTTTCTCAGCCGTATATTGTGCAATAAGTGTATACAAATGTAAGAGTTTTTTTTTCATGGGAAACATTTTATGTACTGTATATCCGATTGGAAAATATAATGCAGTAGCACATTATGCAATGTCTGTTTATGGATAATAGTGCTCATTTTTTCTATTTTTCATCGGAAAATCAGCATTTTATTCAAGTATAATGCAATCACACTGTGCAAAATGTGTGTTAAGATGTCAGTGCTCAGTGTTACATTTTTATTAGAGTAAAATTGAATCTGATGCTTAGATTTACCTTTGTTTCGTGTATATTATCAAAACTTTGTTTGTTTGTTTGTTAAATGAAGTAGTTTTAATGATAAATATTTTATTCATATATCCTTGGTGTATGTCACGATTTCCATCCCGAATATAAATCATGTCTGGGATGTTTGAAATGTGCACTTGGCTTGCATATATCCACGTAAGTAACTGGCGAGAAGAAAAGAATAAAAACAAATTTGAAGTGGGAACAATTTGTATTTTTGTTCAAAGTTCTCAAAAGTGAACCATTTATCCATTTTGTTAATAAAATCCTTTCATACCGATCCACTCTCATCTCTGCCTTTTGGATCACCTGATCACACGTGGGCCTACATTTGTCATATGAAGGAAATACATTTGGCACATTATCAGGGTGTGTACGATTACTGATTCTTTTTTTTTTTTTTTCATTTTTCATAGTGAATTTTTTTAACTTTGGCATTATTTGTCTTTTTTATTGTTACAAGACTTGTACTTGTCCTTAATATTTCATGTGATTGACGCCAGCTTTGTTTTGGCTTGACATCAAAAGAACTACTTACACCAAATTAAAATTCAGATAGGCTTTTAACACTTGTACAGCTCTGGTCTGTAATTGTGCCATAAAGGTGTCAACCCCAAATTATTTTACACTGATCATTATCACACAGGTAAACGCCAATTAAAGCACTTTTCCTTGCACTAATTCACAGTAAACTGATTGAACTGACACTAACAGTATAACTGATCTCACTCAAAGACATGACTGATCATTATCACACAGGTGGGCACCTGAACACCTTACCTTGCAATAATAGACATAATAAACAGAAAGCTGGTCGATCTGACACAAACAGTTTTCAACGGCAGTTAGTGTCAGCCTTGGCAAGTTTTGTAAAATTCCAGAAAGAAAAAATAATAAAACGCTGCACGATCTTCACGTCAGTCTCGAATTATTTGAACAATGATATAATCGTTGATTTATACATGTCAGCAGGTGTCATTACCACAGATGCGGTGTTTATATAATATTCTACTTAAAATAGAATGCAAAACCCATCTTATGACTCTAACCTGTTAAAAAATGCAGGGAACAGACAGTAAGAGAACTGCTTCGCGGCGACCAAAGTTTAGATATCTCAATAATGCCATCACTATTTACTCTTGCTCTGTTTATCGCTGACAGCCATTTCTCTCTTCTAAGCTCATTTGGAACAGAGAACTTGATCTCACTCTCCATGTATTTTCTTGAATAACAGCTAGCTACACAAGTTTTTGGCATTTTTACGTGTTACTTGCTCCACTTCTAATACATGAACTGATCGCGGTTGCTAGGGAGTTTGCCCCCACGCGTTTTTTTTCTGCGCGCGCACATGGGTGTCACGTGGGCTATCCGACTGCAAGAATGACCTTTTGACATTGATCATGTGACTCCATAGTAAGGGCGAAACCGAGGCGTCATTTTTCTGTCTATCAGGAACACCAGTAACTCTGATTGTTTTTACAATTTTATATGAAAGGATGTTAAGCTGACACAATCGACAGGTTTTATAGCAGACAATAAAGTTATTGTGAGCGGAAGAGTTATCTTTTTCAAGCAGGGGCCAGCGGAGAAAGGTGAGGAAACTGTTAGAGCTGAGTGTGGGGTGTTAAATACCTTGTCGATCAATGACAATGGGAATATTCAGATAGCCCATGTTCGTGTCATGTATATGTAAACAGTTGTTTATCGTGACTGTATGATAACCATGTGGTAAGAGAGTAGAAGGTTTAGATTGTTTTTAGAAGAGAGGGCATGTGAAGAGGGTTATGATGGTGGGCATGGTGCGGAAATGATAATATCTGTAGAATGACTTTGGGGAAATCAACAAACCGCCAACCTAGATTAAGTTGATATCATTGTTTTTAAAGACAATAACCAATGCATTAGTTATTGATTGTTTTGAGATCAATTACAAATTGTGAGTAAGAATTGAGTCTGGAGAGCCTCTTGCTTATGATTTATGACATTACAATTTCACTTGATGTTGAAAACAAAGGAGCCTGCTGTTACAGTCATTTCCTTTCTTTATAAAGCCNATAGATCATTATTTTGTCAGAGGTTTTAGATATACCTGGTTGGTCATAAGGGGGAAAATGAACGAATTTCCAGGAAATTATTTTTCATTCTATTATTTTAATTATTATTTTAGCTATTTTTTACAATTTAGAGATATAGCGTTCTTTAGTGTCCCGACAATCGTTATCATAAGGTTATTGTGACATTTGCCTCATGAAATATTGTTCACGCCAAGGGGAAATTAATAATAGCCGGCTCAAAGTCTTCGACCCTAATAAAAGATTCAGTCAGCGTGTTAAGCGATATTAGGTTGATAACGTGTGTGATGTAATCGTCGATAGACACGCAGCCATAACAATATTTTCCTTACGCTACATATATAAAAGACAGTAACAATTCGGTGTTATGGTACTTTAAATATGTATATGCGTGGCCTGCGTTCTACTGAATAATGCAATACCACAACTACATTCTCCACAACTAGCAATGCTAAAATCACAAACAATGGAACAAGTCAAGTTGTAAAAACGCCGTTTCCATGGTGTGTCGATACTGCGTGTAAATAATCTTGACCGATAATACTAAATTGTGACAGCAATAAAATGATAGAATCGATACGGCCCAATATATGGTAACAGCTAGTGGCATGAATTGCAAGGACTGTAAAAAGATCTCCTTGAAACAAGTCCATATAACTACACACTGAATCTTGAATATTGTGGTCAAAAGTTTGTGTCTTAGAACTGGGATTTAAGCTTACATGTACGTGCATCCATTCTAAGATTAACGAAAGTAAAGCCTAGGGTAAAATCACAATTAAAGAGATAGGCCTAGGCCTACAATATTTTACAAATAAAAACTAACTCACAGTTGCGCTCGTTTGTCCCACTACGGTCTTGCTTTTTAATTGTTTGAGCTGAAACAAGAATATTCATAAAACGCTGAGTCATGTTATAAATGTATTTTTCTTTATTCCAGGTTTATATTCAGTTGTTAACACAGTCATTTGATGACAAACTAATGCCTAATAGGTGGCAAACGAACAATTTCGTAAAAGGCACCAAAGCGACATGAAAAGTAGGTGTATATCTGCCCAGCAGTGATGTAAAATAGGGGCTATGATATTTTTAATACATATACATTTCAATCTCACCTCTTCTTCTAAGGCTTCAATTTTTGTCAGCAATTCGTAATTTTTTCCGTGCGCTTTTGCCAGTTCCAGTTCTTTTGCTTTGAGACGGTCTCGTGCAGCATCTCTTTCTAGAATGTATTGCACAAAGTCGTGGTTTACAGATTTCTCTGTCGTTTGTTCAGCGCCAGTTTCTTTTCCGTTTTCAGTGGGATATTCGGGGTTAAATCCGACGAAATGTTTATCAAAACTGAAAGACATGTCATGGCGCTTTAGCGCTTCGCTAGTATCCACCGGTTCTTCGCTATTTAATTGCATAGTTTTAAATCATTGGTTGGTATCGTGTCAAAAACGGCTCTTAAATCATTGATTGGTATCGTGTCAAAAACGGCTTTTCATGTACACGCAGCCCTACGCCCGGCCGTACGCCCGCTACGCGTACGGTATTTAATTTGTTGACTAAAATTTCTATATTTTTCGCACGTGAAAGTCCCCTTTCAACTACTTTTATAGCAACCCACTTATATTTATTTTGTTCTTGATTTGCACTGACGAGTGCGTCATAAAGTAGAGATCTTAAAGTGAAGAACAAGCTTCATTGTATTAAGCTCAATCAATATAATAGCGTTTTCCAAAGGGCCAGTGTGAGAGGGAGCAACGTCGCCTATGTCAACAAGTACTTGCCTAAGAATCTCGCGAGATGATGACGTCAAATTAATGTTGGATTGTGTATGTTATTTCACAGATAAACCATACAAACCATGGTATTGTATATGCAGGAAATAAACTAAAACGTGAAGCATACCTTCCTAAGCCACTCATATGTGTAAGGAGATAATTATGAGAGGTGTTGATTTTTAAATCATTTTTAACACTTAACGTAAATGAATGACCTTTTGACATTGATCATGTGACTCCATGGTAAGGGCGAAACCGAGGCGTCATTTTTCTGTCTATCAGGAACACCAGTAACTCTGATTGTTTTTACAATTTTATATGAAAGGATGTTTAGCTGACACAATCGACAGGTTTTATAGCAGACAATAAAGTTATTGTGAGCGGAAGAGTTATCTTTTTCAAGCAGGGGCCAGCGGAGAAAGGTGAGGAAACTGTTAGAGCTGAGTGTGGGGTGTTAAATACCTTGTCGATCAATGACAATGGGAATATTCAGATAGCCCATGTTCGTGTCATGTATATGTAAACAGTTGTTTATCGTGACTGTATGATAACCATGTGGTAAGAGAGTAGAAGGTTTAGATTGTTTTTAGAAGAGAGGGCATGTAAAGAGGGTTATGATGGTGGGCATGGTGCGGAAATGATAATATCTGTAGAATGACTTTGGGGAAATCAACAAACCGCCAACCTAGATTAAGTTGATATCATTGTTTTTAAAGACAATAACCAATGCATTAGTTATTGATTGTTTTGAGATCAATTACAAATTGTGAGTAAGAATTGAGTCTGGAGAGCCTCTTGCTTATGATTTATGACATTACAATTTCACTTGATGTTGAAAACAAAGGAGCCTGCTGTTACAGTCATTTCCTTTCTTTATAAAGCCTAGAGCTGGACAGTACCTCTGGCGACATCCCCAACCACTTTGTCTGCTGCATCTTGTGTCTATTTAAACTAGGAACTAGTATCCCCAATCTACAGTAACAAAGATCCAAATAATGATGTCCAGTCACATGAGGCTCACCCTGAGGCAACATATGTCAAACCTGCTTTTATAAGTGGTTTTCATTTTCCCTTTTATATCCATGTCCACAATATTCCTACTTTCTGTTTAAAAAATATGTCATTCGTGAACAGATTTTGAAATTTAGGCAAAATTCCAAATTTAAATGATCAGTGTCCCCACCATGTGTTAATTTTCACCATCTGTAAATCTCTAGATGCCTAGATATCCAAGGGGACATTTGGCATATTATGTGAAAGGGGTTTGTTTAGAAGATTTATTTTGGAATACATAATAATTTTCTGTAAGTGCATAGATGTATACTGCACATGTAATCTTAAACATCTATTTATTTCAACTGCAGTATGTTTAATTATTGCTTTTTACTTTGTCCCCATTCCCATGGTATTTGTAAAGGCTAAGGAGGCATGTTCTATAAAAGAAAAATATTATATGGCACTTGAATATCTCATTCCTTCTTTTTTGTGTAAACTGTATTCATTTATATACTGTATTCAAACTCCTGTTGTCAACTAAATCGTGTTTAAAATTTCATCCTGTTTTGAATTTCATAGCAATGCATCTATTTATTTATTGTGTATGTCATTATATCAGCACTACTTTGTTGTCCTTAGCTGAGGCCAGGTGATCAAAATGGCAGAGGTGGACCCAGAAACCCTGCTGGAATGGCTTCAGATGGGCCAGGGAGATGAGAGGGACATGCAGCTTATTGCTTTGGAGCAGCTCTGTATGCTATTGCTTATGTCAGATAATGTTGATAGGTGTTTTGAAAGGTAAGTAGAACTGAGGGTAATGCTGCCTTTTTACTTCATTTGAATATATAGAGCATTCTGTGGTATTTCTGCCCTGGACATGAATTTTTCAAATATGGAAAAATTAACAAAAAGTTACATTTTCTGATAAATGAGAAGTCCTTCAGTTTTTAGAAAATATTAGAACAGGAAATAAATATTGTCTGAACATGGTGGTAGGTGCTCCTTGTTGATTTTTGATTTAAAAATATTATTTATTTAAGGGTCAGGAGGTCAGAAATACCATTTAGTTATTATATATTGTCAGTACACCCAAACTTTGTGCCCATTTTATTTTGAGTTAAAATGACTGCAAGCTTTCTGGAATAACAAATTAATGAGTCATAAAGTTGATGCTACCTGCTATTTTTTAACATGGATTATTTGATATTGCTCTTTGTTTTATATAAATTGATGAAGAAATTATAGATTAAATGATATTGTATAAACTCTTTACTCTAAAAAACTACATGATCATTTGAAATTACTCGCCATATTTCTTAATGGTTACTTCATGTGATTATTCAGTGATTAAACTTGTTTGTATGACTAAATTTGCTGGCATACCAAGTCTGGGTGATATTACTGGAGAAAAATCAATAGCAATATTCTGAGGGTTTCTGTATTTCCTCTACATGAGTGTTAGATTTCAGCTCAGATTTCTAATATTTTTCATTATCGATAGCCTTAGCAGCATATTTGTTAGACAATTTAATGATCGCCTTAATATATTGTGATGAGGGACAGAGTACTTCCTGCTGTGGGTGATATTTCCTGTAAGATGAGTCACATTGGTGTTGGTATATCAGGGATTCCTGTAGCAATACCCTTTGTGCACTCTTGAAAAATTACCCCTAATTGATGACACACTGACTTGAAAATGACCGTCATTTTGTTTCAAATGAATTTCCAAATGAACTATAAGTTCTAGGAGAAATAAGATAATCAGTGTATATTACAATAAGTGCTTTTCATATTACAATTACATTAAGTGAATAGAAAGAACATTTTAAAATTCTAATAAATAAATTTGATTGGATAAGATGATCAGTAAAAGAAAATAATGAAATCGTCATTTATTATTTTAGTTGCCCTCCTCGCACCTTCCTCCCTGCTCTTTGTCGCATTTTCCTGGATGAGTGTGCACCGGACAATGTGCTAGAGGTGACTGCACGTGCCATCACTTATTACTTAGATGTGTCTGCAGAATGCACACGCCGTATTGTGGCTGTAGATGGAGCAATCAAGGCCTTGTGCAACCGTCTTGTGGTGGTGGAGATGTCTTCTAGGACTAGCAAAGATTTGTCTGAACAGTGTATCAAGGTAGGTGAAGACTGATTGGTGGTTTCCATGGTGAAAACAGGGGTGGAAGAGCCATAGAAGTTTGACACTTGATTTTTTCGACTGGTGAATGGGACTTAAAACTTTGTGATATGGAGCAGTACAGAAGCACTTTTCCATAGTTCTGGTTAAACTGCTTTTAAAACTTATGAGAATAAAGTATTCATTAAAAAGAAGTTGGAGACCATCTGTTCCTTGAGAAAGATTCTACAACCATTCATGAGTCGAGTCGTTTTGAAAGCTTTTTGACCCATGAAGAATTTGATTTGATTTTCAGGTGTTGGAATTAATCTGCACCCGTGAACCTGGTGCCGTATTTGATGCTGGTGGCTTGAACTGTGTGTTGACATTCATCCGAGAACATGGCTCCATGGTTCACAAAGACACCCTGCACTCCTCCATGGCAGTGGTCTCCAGACTTTGTGGGAAGATGGAGCCACAGGATGCAGCACTTGAGTCATGTGTGGAATCTCTGTCTACTTTATTAAAACATGAAGACCAGTTTGTAAGTTTCAAATTTCTCAGAATGAACGAAATGTCACTGGATGTTTGAAAATATTCTTACAATTTAGTTACTATAATTTTTTAATTGAGGAATTTCAAACAATCTTGATTTAGATGTGTATGGTATATTTGATAATAATGAGTATCTTTTAAAGGTGAACTTAAAGCTGAAATTCTGTAAAATAACAATGACTTCATCATTACAGGTTGCTGATGGAGCTCTCAGATGCTTTGCATCTTTGGCAGACCGCTTTACTCGCAGGGGAGTCGACCCAGCACCGCTGAACAAACATGGCTTGATTCAGGAATTGCTACAGCGCCTGTCCCAGGCAGGGGGCCCAAATTTGAATGCGTCACTCTCCAGCACCCCAGGGGCTGCCAGTGCCACTCCTGACTCGAAGAGCAGCACTAGTGTGTCCACTGTGATCAGCTTGTTGTCCACTCTGTGTCGAGGGTCACCAGGAGTCACTCATGACTTGCTGCGCTCAGACATGCCTGAAGCTATTGAGATGGCATTGCAGGGGGATGAGAGGTACTAATGATTTTTTTGGGGATTAAATCAAAAAAAAAAATTTTTTTTTTGGAGGGGGGGTTTTTAAAACTTCTTGTTAACATTTAAGTTGAACCATATGCATTTCTGAGGTTTTTGGATTTAAATATCTTTTAAGGCAAAGAAAACGAGATTTATGAGCTACCTTCATTCATGTGAAAGCCACCAAGACGTCACTGTGATATTTTTTTGCATAGAATATTAAATAATAATCATTTAATTTTCATTCCTTTGCAAGAATTTCTTTATCTCCTGTTTCAGATGTGTATTGGACACTATGCGACTGGTAGACCTGCTGTTTGTGCTGTTATTTGAAGGCAGGAAAGCTCTGCCAAAGGCTGGTGTTAGCAGTCTCTCTAGTCGTATTCCAGGACTGCGTAGAATGGACAGTGCTGGTGAAAGATCTCATAGGCAACTCATAGACTGTATTAGGAGTAAAGACACAGATGCCCTCATTGATGCCATAGACAATGGAAGTATGTTCTAGCAGTGTTGTTCTTCATGTTCATCGGGGTGAAAGCCCCTCACCCAAGGGTTGCAGAAATATATTGCCTTCTCCTCTTATGAATTAAAGTTACAAGAAGTGTGACTTAATAGTTTTACTGTTTTGAATTTTGAAGCATTTTAGAAAAATATTTATTTAAAGTACAATACTGACCTGTTTGCGCATTTTTGTGGTGAAAATTATTTACAGATTTATGATAATATGATGGTCAAGATGATTAGTTCTATTTGTTTACTTACAAATGACATTTCCATTTCAGATTTTGAAGTAAACTTCATGGATGATGTTGGTCAGACATTGTTGAATTGGGCTTCTGCATTTGGAACACAAGAAATGGTGAGATTCAGAATTTTAGTGAAAAATATTTAAAGTGGGTGTTTCAGGTTACCATGAAGCTTGTGTGAAATATCTTTATTTGTTAAAGTTGGTCATATTTAAATCAATATTTTCAGGTGGAGTTTCTGTGTGAAAGAGGAGCAGATGTGAATCGAGGATTAAGATCTTCATCTCTTCATTATGCAGCTTGCTTTGGTAGACCAAACATAGTCAAGGTAAAAGGATCTATAATGTGAACATCAACAGATTGAGATATAGGATAATCTCTAGCAAAAATAGACCAAAGGTTGAGATATAGGATAATCTCTAGCAAAAATAGACCAAAGGTCCTGAAGTCAAAGGAATATTCCGGTAGAAGCATCATTGTCTTAGTACAATACTGACTTGTGAGAAAATGCTTTGCAGAAAGTCATTATGATAGGTTTTATGTACCTGTATTGTTTCTCATTGTGTTATATTTTTTCATTGCTGGATGTTAACATTTTTGTAGACTCTTTTGCGATATGGGGCCAATCCCGACCTCAGAGATGAAGATGGGAAGACCCCCCTTGATAAAGCCAGGGAGAGGGGAGACGAGGGGCACAGAGAGGTCATCAGAATACTTCTGTCACCAGGTGAGGAGGAAAGCACGAGCCCATGAAATAAAACCTTCAATACTTCAGAATAAGTATAAAATGCATGTGACATTTCTTCAAGAAAGGCATTTTACTCTGCAAAAGGTGGTTTATGCATTATTTATCCACTGTGGCTTAATCAGTTTACCCTAGGGTGTACATTCTGTGCATAGATTTATTCGTCCATAAAACTGGAAATATTTTCATTGGCCTGAAAGATCATATGTTGCATTCTTCTTCTCCCAGGTGACTGGATGATTCCAGCCTCCAGCAGAGAGAGCTCCACCTCCAGTATAGGTGAGAGTGCCACTGCCACAGGTGCCCCTCCAGCAGTAGATACTCCAGGCACCCTGGGGGATCCGCTTCTTGATGAACAGGAGCAACAACAGAGACAGCAACAACAGCAGCAACAACAACAACAGCAGCAGCAACAACAACAGCAAATGTTACAACAACAACAGCAGCAGCAACAACAACAGCTGAAGAAAGAGGAGCCAGAGGAACCTCAAGAACCCAAAGGGGATCCAGAAATGGCACCCGTGTACCTGAAAGCTCTGTTGCCTATCTTTACTCAAGTCTACCAAAGTACAATGTTACCTTCAGTCAGGTCTGTGAAATAAACTGACATTAAGATAAAATCTTGTTTAACTGTCACATGTTAAGCACTAGTAATAGCAGATGGTAGTTGTTATTTTACATTTGAATGTTCAAAAGTTTATTTGTAAGATTTTGTATTGTAGAACGTCAGCAAGAATGTTCACACCAGCAGAAAATTTGTATGAATTTGATTTAAAACATCGTGAATAGTGTTCTCTCATTTTCCCTCCAGGAAAGCCAGCCTTGCTCTCATCAGGAAGATGGTTCAACACACCTCAGAGAATGTCATGGTAGATATCTGCAATGCAGGCTCCACCTTTCCCACACTGCTGGTTGAGGTCATTGCTATGGTGTTGGACACTGAGGTAGGATTAGGCTTTAATGTGGCAAATGACCACTGCTGTTGCTTCTTATCAAAGATGTGTGTAACATGTCCCTGCTTATGTGATTTTTAAAATATTAAGATAAAAATATTACCATTCATAAACATGATGTCTAAAACAGGATGAATTCCACCTAAATGACTTTTTTCTGGGAAACGAGTGTTGCATACTTATTACGATTCAGGTAAGTGTGCAAAAGTAGTTCTTTGCTTCTGAAATTATGAATCACTAATGGCAATTATAAAATTGAATCTTAACTCCATAGGATGATGATGATGGCCACAACACAGCACTTCAGATAATAGAGGACCTTGTCAACAAAGGGCGTGACTGTTTCCTGGAACACTTTGCTAGGCTGGGGATCTTCATCAAAGTGCTGAACCTGGCAGGACCTCCTCCAGAGGAAGAAGAGAGGATCAGAGCCAGGGAAGAGAAGGTAAGGCATTTATAGATATTCTGAAGTATTATCTTTCTTTTTGAGGATAAATGGACCATTTTATTGATCATATGCAGGCATTTAAGGCATTTATAGATATTCTGAAGTATTATCTTTTTCATTTTGAGGATAAATGGACCATTTTATTGATCATATGCAGGCATGGGTTTATTTTATGAATTACATTTATTATCAAGTCGGGTATTTAACTGAAAGGTTGAAGAGTTTTGTGTCAGTCAGTAAATTGAAATGTGCGTAAGTTTTTAAAATTTTGATCTTATTCTCTAGATGGAGCAAGAGTCCCAGCTGGAAGATGCCAAGGAGGTGATCCAGGGGAAGGCTTACCACTGGAAAGACTGGTGTGTGGCCAGAGGGAGGGACTGTCTCTACATCTGGAGTGATGCTGCTGCATTGGAGTTGTCTAATGGCAGCAATGGCTGGTTCAGGTTTATACTGGATGGTAAACTGGCCACCATGTACTCCAGTGGTAGCCCTGAAGGTGGCTCAGATAGCTCAGGTGGGCAGGTGTCATAATATTTAATTGTAAATGTATTACTATAAATTTCCCTTTGAAAAGGGTACTAGGGAGATCATTTATTGGATTGAAATCTATTTCAGTTGTTTGTGCTAACTTGCTATCTAAATAGCTAATAAAGCTACAGGGTTAATAAGATGCACAGTTTACATATTCATCCTAATCTTCAAATTTTTATGAAAAATTATTTTTAGAAAACCGAGGAGAGTTCTTAGAGAAACTTCAGAGGGCCAGAAGTATGGTGAAGAGTGGCACTCCTAGTCAGCCAATCCTCAGCAGCATTGGACCCACACGTCTTGTAGTGGGCAACTGGTCTTTGGCCTGTAGGAAGGAGGGGGAGATACTGATACATAACTCTGATGGTCAACAGGTAATTCTCCTCTTGATCAGTTTTGACTGATTGGCAGAATTTAAATTCCCATAATTTAAACTTCACCTGTTTAGCAGAGAAAAAAATAAATAAATAAATAAATAAATATTTACCCTTCAGTGATTATGAGGAATTTTAGATTTCATGTTTGTTTGAAAAAATTATTTTCTTCAGGCTACAATTCTTCGAGAAGATTTGCCAGGTTTTGTGTTTGAGTCAAACCGTGGCACTAAGCACACCTTCACAGCAGAGACGTCCCTGGGGCCAGAGTTTGCCTCGGGCTGGGCTGGGAGGAAGAGCAAGAAGTTGAAAAGCAAAGTGGAAGCTATAAAACAAAAGGTAAGATGTTTTGTACATTTATCTGTCTGAGAAGTTGCATCCTCTCGGTATAAGGATAAGCATGACACCAATTTTTACTTTGCTTTGAAATTTTGTTATGGAACTATAGCTGAAATTTTAAGCCATTTCTTCAGCAATAAATTGGTGAATAAATTTTCCAGTTTCTTGTTTTTTTATAGCCAAAGTAATTAATCTTTTGCATTTGGCAAACCACACATATCATATTGTATTAAGTTATATCTTTACTACTCCAGGTGAAGACCATGGCTAGGGATATCTATGAGCAGCACTTCAGAGCAGCCCAGGCTACACCAAGAGGAGTGGTAGCCAGGCTACACAGCATTGTACAGCTGCTGGACTCAGCTTGTCTCAAGCATGCAGGCCAAATAAAGGTAAACTTTTTTTATCTTATTAGTCCAAGGAGGATTATAGTGATTTAGAATAAAGCCAAGTGCATTTAAAAGGTTGAAGAGGCTAATTGAGTGCAAACTCAGCTCTCATTGAATTCAAGCACAGTATTTGGTCCGTCAAATCTTTTAATCCAAAAAATAATTTATAATTTTCCAGATTACAGAGGGAGAGCCTGACTGGGTCCAGGACATGAAAACTGCACTGGATGACCTGTCTGAGCTGTTGAAGGACGATCACACAGTGTCTGCCTTTGAGCTCCACAGCAGCGGATTAGTACAGGCCCTGCTCAACTGTTTGAATGTGAGAGAGCACTTTGTTATTGTTTTAAATAAGAGAAAAGATAAATTTCCAATAAACAGTTTTTGGTATACATTAAAGTTGCTGTTTATGTGTATTCATTGTTTTAATGATATAAAGATAGGTAAATGCATAATATTATGGTAGAAACATAATTGTGAATTATGGATGAGAAAATCTTGGATATTTACCATATATTTTGATACGATTGACTTTTTTTTTTCATATTGTTTTAAAGGGTCTACACGATGTGACTGATAATCCAAAATTAGCCTTGGAGAGAATACACATGTTTATGCATGTGTTTAAAGAATCAGATTACAGGTTTGTTGAAACTTTTTTCTTGGTAAAAGAAAACTAAGTAAACTGGATTAAAATGGTATTAAAAATTTGGATGATAAAAGAAATTTAACAAACAGATGATTATTATTATATATCATGACTCTTTGCAACATAAGCATATTGCAGTATCTGTCACAATTTGGGACATAACTGAAATATAAATAAAAGGGCTCATTGAATGTTTTCTCCTGTTTCAGTGTTAACCCAGCCACTGCTCTTGTAAGAAAACTCATATCTGTGTTAGAGTCTATAGAAAAACTCCCAATATTTAGTTATGATATTCTTGGAACTGGATATGGTTTACAGGTGAGTTAGCTATTTGTCTTATTTATATTGTTAAAATTGTGTATTGAGAAAGAAAAAAAAAAGAAAAAATTGAAATTATACACTGTGCTATCTGTTGGATATTTAAATTACAAGGCATTGGTGGTTTTGGTAGTGGCAGAGACTTCTCTTTACATTAATTTTTTCAAAGTATACATTGTTTTGAATTCTCCTGTCCTTATTTTCTTTTTTGTAGAAGAGTAACCATATACAAATAAATTATGTACTGGGACAATTCTTCCCCATTTATGTACATTTTGGACTTATTTTCAGATCCTCACTCGACGTTTGAGATTCCGTCTTGAAAGAGCACCTGGAGAGACATCTTTGATTGACAGAACAGGCAGAAATTTGAAAATGGAACCTCTTAGTAATGTGGACCAAGTGGAGAGATATCTTTTGAAAATGGCATGTATTGTTTTTCTGTCATGTCAGACTATTTCAACACAAAACTTTCACGCAAGCAAATAATACATATAGCATATTTTCAATTATAGAATAGTTATGAAGTGAAACTTCCTCCAAAATTTCAGAGGTTAAAACATAAAGTGATCTTTTAGTTTGAACTTTGCACTATGTATCTTGCATATTTTCATTGGTATCCTCTTGATTGTTGAATTTGTTTTCTCCTCTGCAGGTTGCCAAACAATGGTATGACTATGATAGGTCTAGTTTTACATATGTGAAAAAGCTCAAAGAACCAGATGCTAAATTTTCATTCTCACATCAAAGGGATTTTGATGAGAATGGTGTGATATACTGGATAGGAACTAATGCCAAGTGAGTACTGAGCATGCTGTCCATTTTGAAAATATTTTATCAGAAAATTTTTCATTTAAGATTCTTCATGAGTGCTTGTGACGAGTTGAAGGCAGAATATATATGTTTTCATGTTGAATAATGTATCTGGAGGCCATCATTGGAAAAGAGCTGTAAATTTTCCCCCAGAAACAATTGCACTGCCTAAGTAAAGGCAGCAGTTCTTTGATTAGCTTGTTGGTCTCTGCCAGCAGTTCTTTTTAGTTGAGCATAAAGATATTAGGGGAAAAAACAAAGAGTAGAATTTATGTCACTCAAGTTATGTATACTTACTAATAGATTTCCGTTTCATTACTAATTCCAAGTTTTCTATTTTGCTTATAGATCAGCATATGAGTGGATCAACCCAGCACAGTATGGCCTGGTGGTGGTGACATCCTCTGAGGGGAGAAACCTGCCCTATGGAAAGCTGGAGGATGTCCTCAGCAGAGAGCCGTCTGCTCTGAATTGCCACACTAATGATGACAAGTAAGTATACTATTACTTCTTTGGATTTTTTGAAAGGCCTTTTCTAACTGACCAGGTAATAGGGTAGTATCTTTTTGTGAAAAATTATCTTAATTTCCATGATTTTAGAAAGTTCAATTCACTTTATATTGTGCTAGAAAGGTTTATTAAAAAAAACAGTGGGTTTTAGTGAAGATTTCAAATGGCATTACACTTCCTCTGCAGGAGTGCATGGTTTGCCATAGACTTGGGCGTGTTTGTGATCCCCACAAGTTACACACTGAGGCATGCTAGAGGATATGGAAGGTAAGAACAGGTGGTTGGACAGGCACGAAACAGGGCTTGCATATATCAAAGTTTACAAGTTTAATATGAGGTCAGGTGTAAAACATCACATTTTATAAGTATTTTCTGAACAGACAGAGAGATTGTGTATTTGTTAAACCATAATCCTTATCCTGAAGCATCTGAAAAGATGCAGGAATCGGATTCATTCTGTCATAGCATTGTATTGTTGGCTAATGATAACTTTACCATTCAAACCAGCATAATATGTCCACTTTCAGGTCTGCCCTGAGAAACTGGGAGTTCCAGGTGTCCAAAGATGGCACCACATGGACAACCCTGTATAAACATGAAAATGACGCCTCACTCAATGAACCAGGGTATGTATTACATGTAACCCTGGTATCACAGTCACTGCTCAGGGAGTTCGTGTTTGATCATGTGCTTTATGGCTTTTATCATGACTGTTGTTGCTCAAATAGCAGTGTTACAGCTTTGAATTTTGATTAACCACTCTTGAGAGGTCGAAATTTAGATTTTTACAAAAATAAAAAAACTCTGTTGCATGTACTGAAACAAAGCAGTGCAAGAAAAACTGGAAAAAGTTGTTGAAATAGACTCGTAAGTTTCTCACAATCAAATGTTTTATATAAAACTTAAAGTATGCCTTAAAGTCAGAGCAGATTGCATGTATTTTAAGAAATATTAGTTTATTATCAGTTTCAAAAGTTTTTAGCATGATGACCAGTTTCTATTAAATTATTTCACATTGCCAGGTCCACTGCCAGCTGGCCTCTAGAGCCCCCTGCAGAAGAGAAGCAAGGCTGGAGACATGTACGCATCTTACAGTGTGGGAAGAATGCCAGTGGACAAACTCACTACTTGTCTCTATCTGGCTTTGAAATATATGGAACTGTCACAGGGGCTTGTGATGATGTCGGTGAGTTAAACAAAGCTGGTGTGATGTTTTAAGTTATCTATGTCATTAGAATGCAGATGGAAACGTAAGGCTTCTAAGATGGTTGCATTTAGCTACCCTAGACTCTTAGATGTGAAAGCAATGTGAAATGCCTGCTGAATGTACCAAAAGTCAAATATTCATTGATTCGTATTTAAAAATGGAAAGAAATGACTAAGTTAATATTGTACCTGTTTAATTTCATAGGTAAAGCAGCCAAAGAAGCAGAGGCAAACTTGCGACGTCAGCGTAGACTGCTGCGCACTCAGGTGCTGAAGCAGATGGTGCCCGGTGCTCGTGTTGTGCGTGGCATGGACTGGAAGTGGAGAGACCAAGATGGCAATCCACCAGGAGAGGGGACAGTTACAGGGGAACTGCATAATGGTATGATAAATGTTACAAGAAAAAGGACAATATTGCCTTTATTCTACTGAATGCTGGATTACACAATACTGAATAGGATAGAAAAATAGTGTCAAGTTTGAAAGAGGAGGTGGGAAGTATGTTGCATTGTGTTTGAATGTATTGTTGAGACTCTGGACAGAATTCCTGCATACAGGGAATTGTATTTGATATACTAGACATACTAGTGTTTATGTGTATTGGTTTTGTTGATCCATTTTAAGGTAATGCTTTTATTTGTGCATGAAGTATTGATAGTCCAGTAAAATGGCATTAAATGAATGTACCCTATAGCATTTTTTCTGTTGACTAGGTTGGGTTGATGTGACCTGGGATGCAGGGGGATCTAATTCCTACAGGATGGGTGCAGAGGGCAAATATGACCTTGCCCTTGCCCCATCTCACGATCCAGAGAAGCTCCGCCACACCTTGTCTCAGAAACCCGAGGGAGCCATGGCCCCTGCTAGAATGAAGTCTAATAATCCAGATGGTGCTAAACAGAAGGTAAGTTTTATGATAGATATGATTAGACCACAGTATTATCTCCATATTGAAAAGGAATATTGAAAGAGGGTATGTGGCTGCTTTTGTACGCGGAAAAGGTAAATATTTGATTGAAAAAAAATATATATACATAATATGTCAATCAATAACCCAAGGAAGAACTATAATTTACAATACAGCAAATTAATGTTTGGTTACTTCCAGTTACAGACTAGTGTGTTAACCAGCAGGAAGAGCAGTTCCACCCCTAGTCTCAGTGATGTGGCGGAGGCTAAATCTTCTGTGGCCTGTACAGAGCAAGCAGCATCTGCAGAGAATCTGACTGCAAGAGTGAAAAGTGTAAGTTCAACTATATTTTTCTTAACAAATACTTAAGCACTGAACAGTTCAACATATGGCTACTTATATTTTTGTAGCTTGTTTAAATCAATGTTTGAATAGTAATTTTATTTGATTTTCATGTTTATATGGTTATTTTTGATTGTCAGATTTATTTGAAAGAAATAAGTAGAACATTTCTATCACATGAACTGACCAAAATTATGACAACCGTTTAGGACACAGAAATTTCCCCATTATTTCAAGACAAGATATTTTATTCCAGACTGCAGAAAGTGTAGCAGAGAGTGTCCTAAACCTGGCCACCTCGGAAGCTGTGGTCATGGTGACAGTAGACCCATCAGATGGCAGCACTAGCAGTAGTACCACCAGCACTGAGAGTAGCACTGTCAGCAGCAGTAGTACCACCACCAGTGCTGGCACTGGCCCTTCTACTCAGGAGACAGCTGCAGAAGTACACAGCGAAGAAGGTATGGTTAAGTTGATTATTTTGTGCTTTTTGTGTTTGTAAGTATTGATATTGAATATAATTTATTTACTTAAATTCACATGGTAAGTAGGTTCAATTTTAAATTTTTTTCTAAATATACATAGGAATACTTTAGAGTGATTCCTTTGAAAAAGGTATTTTGCCACTACCTCATGCAGTGGAGAGATGCTTACTTCATTATCTTATTTAAATTTTATTTACCCTTCTAGGTCTTGCAGATATGGCATGTGCTCCCTTGGACAACTCGGATCTTGGAGCTGTAGCTGCACTGCCTGATAACAGCAATGAGAAAAAACCAGAGAAAGTACAGACCATAAGAGTTGGAGAGAAGGTTAAAGTGTCAGAGGTTGTCAGAGGTGAGAATGGATGTTGAAGATTTTTTTTTTACCATGCATTTGTGTAATTTGTGATAAGAGGTTTGGCTAATCTTTTGATTTTCACAAAAAGAAGATTTTGATTTAGACAGATCTTATCCTTACAACCCATACATAGGCACTTTTTGTATAGTGTACTTATTATATGGAGAACACTTAAATTTTTACCCATTTCTAATCTATACAAGGTATTGATTAGTGCCTTTTTCTGAATTCCAGACAAGCCTCCTAAGGTAGACAGAAAGTCGTCTGACCCCCAGGCCCAGGCCTGGCCCACCTCTACCAGCCCCATGAGTGTCAGTGTGCCAAATCTTACCAGTAATATGGAACAGACTGTCAATTTGCTGGAGTCCTTTGCCGCCGTTGCCAGAAGAAATGTTGCTGGTGGCAGCGGTGGGGGAACAGGCAGTCTCAGTCGTACTAGCGCTAGTAGTCTAGTAAGACTAGCTCTGCAAGGAAATCTCAGTGAGTGTCTTTACTGAAAATGCCCATTTGATCTGCAAATTAATTTTATGTATAGGACGTTTTTGTATTCTGACATTTGGGACTTAACAAGGTAATTTTGATTCATCAGCTTAAAATACAGTTTTTTGTCTCTGAACAAGTTCTCTTCGTTGAATTTCTCCGTATATCACGTACAATTTTCATGGATTTGCCACTTTTACATCTGACAGTTCACCCATTCGCTTATTTTCAGGTAACTTGTTAAGTACAGCTCAAAGCTTCCCCAACCTCAATACAAGTGGAACCAACACCACCTCCAGCCCTACCACCTGTAGTAACGTGACCTCCCTGAGCCAGGCACTCACCATGAGCCTGGCCTCCACCTCCAGTGAGAGTGACAATGATTTCCTGGAGACCTGTAGAGCCACCACCTTGCTGGCTGAACTGGAGGATGATGACGAGCTGCCAGAGCCAGATGATGACACAGATGAGAACGAGGATGATAATGAAGAGGATGATGACTTATATGAGGATGTCATGGTGAGTGGAGTATAGAGGTGGTTGGAAATATGGCTTCTAAGATAGAGTGACTGTATCTTGGATAATTGGTTCAGCTGAGGATTGTATTACATTACATATAACTGTGTGACTTGAAACAGGGCTAGAAAATAATTTTAAGTATCCATATTCTGAAAAATTTTAAAGTATCCTTTCAAATTACTTTGCGACTGGTGGTCATCAGACCATCAACTATTTATGTTCATAATTATGCAATTCAATTTTTATGTGATTTTCTCTAAAGGAAACTACTTTTACTTATTACTTGTAAATTGGTTGTTTCCAGGAGGAAGAAGAGTATGATACAAGGAACAGCCGTAGAAGGACGTGGGATGATGAGTTTGTACTGAAAAGGCAGTTCTCAGCACTGATCCCAGCATTTGACCCCAGGCCTGGTAGAACCAATGTACTTCATACACAAGACTATGAAATACCACCCCCAGGTAGGATAAGGCCACTTCAACTGTTTTTCACTCTATTGTAATACCTTTTCTCTCTATTTCAAAGTTTTTACCCTTTCTGCTTATTCCAGTTTACTTTGAGTGAGGACAAGGTGCAGTTTGTAAAAGTCCTTTGCTTGGGATATGAAGTTAGAAGGAGGTTAAAATTGTTTTTGAGGGGAAAATTAATGTGAGGAAGCTCATAATTCAAATTGATGTGTAGACTTCATTTTATTCCAACTCTCAGGCTGAAAAATTGACCGTTACATTCAATGTGGGATATTGGCTTCTTCTGTTATTAAGGCATAGGAATATATTTTTCATTTGAACATTATGTTAGGCAAGTCTGATGGTTTACAACTACATATAAGGTGATTTGAACGAACCAGATTTTGAAATCGTGTTTGTGTCTTGTTTCATTGTAGGAACAGAAAGGCAGCAGTCCAGTGAGGAGACAGACCCAGTGCCTCAGCCCAAACTGGCACTTTACTTGAAAGGACCTAATTTGCCAGGGGTATGGAGAGCTTTTACACTGAATAGATGATGAAATAGAAAAGTATTATGAATAGTTCAGTTAAAAAACATATTCTGAAAGATTCTTAAGTTGTTCGGGTGCGAATGATGGCAGCATAGAGGAAGAAAAGACATAATTAGCCATTTGTTTTCCTGCAGATGCCTGATGGTGAGATCTACATGGCTGACCCCAAGGCAACCATTTTCAAGTATGTTCAGCTGTTACTGTTGCAAGCCCCTGGAGCCAACAAAAGTGAAAGACTGAAGAGAATTTGGGAACCAACGTACACGTAAGTATTTGTTACAGGTTTGGTAAGAATGTTTGTGTGCATAAAGTTCTGTAAAATATTCAATATCTAAAGTGGATACTTTTTTCTTCTTGGATACTTCAGGGCTAGACACTAACTTTTATGTCCGAAGGACAGGTGCTTATAAATTTGACCTGTCCGATTATCAATCCAACCTGTCCAACAAGACCAATATTTTTTTTTACATTCATACCTTTGAACTTTGTACATTAATATGTGTAGTCATACTTTTGAAATAATGTATTTATTACCAAGACATTCAATCAAATGAGCCCAGAAAATGCACCCTAAGTGGATTTATTTTCAGATAAAAAGTTGGTTTTTTCAAACTTGTGAACTCCTGAAGATTTAATGTCGCATATAAGTCTGATTAAACATAGTTTCAATCAGGGTTTTCCTAGGATTTGGGGTACAGTGTCTACTAATTGTAAATCTGCCATTAATAACAGATTCACATGAAGTCCAACCAAAGCTAAAAAAAAAAAAAAAAAAAAAAAAAAAAAAAAAAATCTGAGTGTGAGGTGGGAAGGGGGTACTTTTTAATTTATTTCATTAAAATATTCAAAATTTATAACTGAATAAAATTCAATAAAAATTGATAGAATAAGAATATTCATTGTATTATTCTTGAGTTATATTTATGTTAACAATATAACTTCTTTTGGTATTATTATGTGACCGTTTGATTTTTTTAAATATATGAATTAAATAAAATCAGTTTAAAAAAATCCCCTTTTTATTTAAATTCTCATAAATTAGTTATTACTAATTTCTCCTTACATCAATATCACACTGGTATATGACAGCACTGCTAATTTATCAAATTCCAGCACAAAATTTTGAACTATAAATAACATAGGTGTTGCTAGAGTCATTTAAAAAGTGAAACATCTTACAAAATTTCAGATTATATTTTGGCAAATAAACAACATTTCAACATGATCTTCAGTCCCAAAGATTTCACTTTCTAACTTTGAATGGTTGTGAGTAGATAGCCTACAAGGTATTTGATTGACAGGTAGTATGTTGCCTTGACAACGAACTAGATATATCCAGTTCATCTGGTTCAATCTAGCTATTGTACCCATACCAGTACTTGTGTAGTTTCTATTTTAGGAACGATCTTTATTACTAGAGCATGTATATTTTTAACCAAATAAATATTCAGTTGTCAACCTGTTATGGGAACAAATTCTGTCTTGTGAAGTTTTGGAAGGTGCTAACTTTCATAATTTGGCGGTAAGTTTGCTCAGACATCGTTTTGGGACTTCATGTGTTTTGTGCCAAATGTAGGTCACCCTTTTCAATGCCGTGTAGGAAGAGACGAAAAGACGTTAGTATGCAACAAAAAATATTTCTTTTTCAAGATTTTTGTTCCAAAGTTCTCATAAAAGATGACCTGTCCGTCGGACAGCCAACCCTGCAAATTCACCTGTCCGAACTGAATTTTTACCTGTCCCGGACAGGCTGACAGGCGCTAATGTCGAGCCCTGTACTTACACAATGTATTCGATAAAAAAAAAATTAACAAAAATGGAAAAATTAATGAGCTGCATTATTGGAAAATGTCAGTTTGAGCATAAGACAAGCTGAGATAAATTGTTTAGTTATTGATACTTCTGCTTTATAATTGATCAATTCAGATTGGTGTATAAAGAATTAAAGGAAGGTGAAGGCAGGCTGGACTTGGAAAACACAGAGGTGAGTGACAGTCAAAGTGTGACACACTTGTAACTCATTGTTAGCAAAAAGGCACCATTGTCAATACTATTTAGATTGTTGATAGGTTAAAATCTACTTTTGAATTTCATGTAAATAAGGATGTTTTTTAACTTTGAAACCACCTTGGTTTGGGTTTTGTATTTTGAAACAAGCATGGGAATGGGCAGTTTATTTATCCCACCCTACCCTGCTTTTTGCATATCAGCCCTTGAGATGGAAGCCCAGGCTATTTCTTTGTTTTTTTTTTTCTTTTTAATTTCCTATTTGGTTTTATTTTCACTTAACTATGGATGAAATTCCCTTGTACATTTTTATAGCATGATGCATGTTTAGATTCAGTTGAATTGCACCAGGTTGATTTTGGGCTAGTAAATTGTTGCTTAAGTTGACTTTCTGTAGAAGTTTAGTTTATTAGGTCTGCTCCAAGTATCTCTCATTAGTATGCCTAGATGGTGAATGTTACCGAACATTATCCAGTTGGATTGTTTCATCTGTGAATGAGCAACCCCTGCCCTTTTAAACCCATAGCAGCATAAAATGGAAAGGTATGGTAGGGAAAAAGAGAATGCTAGCCTGTAGTCCTTCAAAAATGCACGTTAGGAAAAAAGTGATGTGGAGCAGGCCTTCATTGTCGCATCAACTATCCTTTCAGGGACGTTGGTCCATATCTTATGTTGAGCGCCATCTAGGGACAGATCTCCTTCCCAAATTGGAGGTCATTGACTATTTGCGTCAGAATGCTGATGAGGCATTCCTGCTGCGCTGGAAACTGGTTGGCACCAGCAAAAACATTAAAAAGAGTCGGAACTGTGCTCAATTGGTGGCTGCATATAAGGTTAGCACATAATCCGCATGCTGCTAGGGTAGCATAACAATAAATATTAATTGTAATGACAATAAACAACAGAGCAGTTCTCAGTGTTTGTCACAAACCATATATTAAATGTGATTGTTGTGTAGTTTTCACAAGTGAAGTCTATCCCTTTGAAAAGAAAAGAAAGAACAATTGAAAGAACAAGAATATACCCCCCCCCCAGAAAAAAAAAGATTTTAATAAGTAGCACATAGTCTTACTTTCTTACTAAACCACTACTTTGACATTAAGCTTGCCCACATTTCAGACTAATTACTTTCTATTTACACTTAGAATAACATATAGTTGCATGACTGATTTTTTTTTCACTAACAACAATTATTAACATTTTGCATAGTAATTTTACAAAATTTATTTCCAAAACATCCTTTTATGTGCATTTTAGCTCCCTTTTTTGCAGTAAAATTACACCCCCTCCCCCCACCAATGCTATTAACAGGTGCTTTATTCCATTGTTACCAACATTCAAAAGCATCTATTTTAAGGCATTCACACATTTGATCTCAGTTTACGTCCTATTACCCCCTGTTTCTTTTTTTTTAATGCAGACATCCATTTTTCTCTTATATTTTAACATAACCATCACCTTTGCCAACATTATTGTCATCTATAAGATTTGGACATTTCTAATCAGGCTTTTTTTACCTTTGCTCTGTTATTTTTTTCCATTTGGTTGGCATTATAAAAGCATTCCTTTGAAGCTGCTTATAAAACAGGTTATACTTTTTAAAAAAGGTCAAGATTTGGACTATCTTATGTTTGTTTTCTTTAAAGCCTTGTTAAAGCTATTAAACATTTACTCAGGAATTTTGCCAAAGTGGATCTAAACTCAGCCAATCATTGGAAGATCAAAGCACCCGGGAGCGGCTGATAAGTGAGGCTGAGCAGCCCAATAGCAATGACCCATCAGCCTGCAGCGTAGAAGACGTGCTTCGTCTTCTCCAGCTCCTGTATGCTATCTCCCTGGAAGAAAAGCATGCTGGGATGTGGACAGGTGAGAGGACCAATAGAAGTGGTTTTGAAATATGCTGCTGAATTTTTACCATTTGTCATTGAAAAAATTATGTATGTAGACAACTGGCTAATAGTGATATAGATTAAATGTACTAGTTTAAGATTAAAAATCACATGTTAAGTACAAATTGTGAAATGTCCATTCCCCCTTTTGAATGATGCATTAAAAATCATTTTGCTGATCAGAACATGTAACTATGTACCTTATGAGTGTTTTATTGCTACCCATAGTTATAGTCCTGGTTTTATATGATATCTTTTCTGATTTTAGAGGAAGAATATTCTCAATTTAATCTTCCTTCTGAAGAGTTCATCAGCAAGAAAATTACTAACAAACTGGTTCAACAAGTACAGGTAAGATACTATTGTTCAGTTTATAATATACGGAAATTTTAGGTATTTCTTCTGATTTCTCGTGACATAATCTTATAGTGTGATCTTCGACAAGTTTGGTTGCTTTTAAACCTTGATTTAGCCCTAGTATTATTACTTGCTATTTACTAAATTTCTCATTTTTGAATTGGACGCAACAGAGATATGATACATTATAAGTTGTCCTCTTTTTCCCAGGATCCTCTAGTATTGTCCAGCAATGCTCTTCCTGACTGGTGTGAGAAACTGACCAAGTGGTGTCCCATGCTCTTCCCCTTTGACACCAGGCAGCTGTATTTCACCACCACTGCCTTTGGCACTTCAAGGTGAAGGTCATCACTTTTGTTGAAGTTGTACATTTAGTTACAGTCTCTGTGGCTAAATGTATATATGTATAAACCACTGATCACAGTTCACATCCATCTTCGTTAAGTAATTTTGGTAACATGCATTTTTGAAATTATTTTGTGATATTGTTTATAGACATAATTAGGTAAACTTATAGTTGATCTCAATGTAGAAAGAGTAAAATTGGAAATGTGCCAGCTGTATTTATACATTCTTCATTGTCTGCAATATTACTTATTATTCCACTGCCAATATTGCTTGGTATTCATTCTAATGTGCATGATTTGTAAATGATTTCAGAGCTATTGTTTGGCTGCAGAATAAGAGAGATGCTGCTCTTGATCGACACAGAGGGCCATCGCCAAGAAGAGACGATGGCCATGAGTTCCGTGTGGGTCGCCTTAAACATGAACGAGTAAAAGTTCCAAGAGGAGAACAGCTTCTAGACTGGGGAATGCAACTCATGAAGTATCATGGAGAAAGAAAAGCTGTGTTAGAGGTAAATTTAAGTCAAAGTGGTAACAAGTCTTCTGTTGTCTCTTTGCTGGAGAAAGCTTATTACATTTTCTGAAAAGGCTTGTTTGGTTGTGGAATTTCAGGATGTGACACTAATGTGAGGAATCTTGGTTTTAAATTGAACAAAAAATCTGTTTGAATATGTTCCCTTTGACTTGATGAAACTGAAACTACATCTATATTTTTATTACTATATAAGCTCACTAGAACTAAATGTGACAATTACCTTTGGATAAGAATTTTAAAAAAGAAAATAAAATCAATATAACTGTTCCTGTTGGGTTTCTAGATTGAGTTTGTAGAAGAGGAGGGCACTGGGCTTGGCCCCACCCTGGAGTTCTATGCCCTGGTGGCAGCAGAGTTCCAGAGGAAAGACTTGGGCATGTGGTTGTGTGATGATGATATACCTGATGATTTGGCTAGAGAGGTATGCTTCCCACTTGATAGATTTATATATAACAGTGTATTTAAAGTGAATTTTTAAAAAAAATTTGTCTCTCAGATATTTGTTTATAAATGTGTCATTTGTGTATCAGTTTATGTAAACATCCTTTTTGTGAAGCATGCATCAGTTTCAGTATCGTTTGTTTTTATCTGCCTCCTTGCTACTTAGAAACCAGTAGTACTTGTTAGACCACTGCTCAAATGCCACAGCAGGCCTTGCAACCTAATTTGATTGTGATCCTGACCTCATAATGAAATATTATTTACTACTCTCAGGTTGACATTGGTGAAGGTGTAAAACCACCAGGATATTATGTCCAGAAAGTATGCGGTTTGTTCCCAGCTCCTCTCCCTCAAGAAGGCTCAAACATCTCAAAAGTGGAACAACTCTTCCAAACTCTGGGCACATTCTTAGCCAAAGCAATTCAGGACAATAGACTTGTGGATATCCCATTATCACGACCATTCCTTAAACTCATGTGCATGGGCGAGGTGGGCAGCAATCTGACTCAGCAGTACTACGAGCTCACAACACAGAAAGACAGTGATGTAGATATGCGATCAGAACCATCCTACGATGAGTCTGATCTGATCTCAAGTGTCGAGGACTTGCAGATAGACAAGGAGCTGATCCTCGATCCTCCCAAGCACAGGACTGTGGTGGCCCCTGCCTGGTACACTGGGCTCCTGACACAGGAGGACTTTGAACTGGTCAATCCTCACAGAGCAAGATTTCTAAGACAGCTAAAAGACTTAGCACAGAGAAAATATGAAATTGTCAATGACAATAAACTGACAGAAGATCAGAAAAATACTATGTTGCTGGAGTTGGCTTTGGAGAACCCATCTGGAGAGGGACCCCCTGTCAAGCTGGAAGACTTGGGGTGAGAGAGATACTCTACTGTCATTAAGATGTACTTCCCACAAGTATTTAAAGTGTAACAATGGCAGTTTTGTGAACACTCTTGGGTTTTTTGTTTGAGATATTTAAAATTATTTTATAAAGAATAAAAAGAATCTAGGTTAATTTTACACAGGCAGATAAATCTATCTACCTATGATGTCTTGGAAGGAAATTGAAGATTTTTGTATGTAGACAAATGTTTATCTTTCCAGGTTGACTTTCCAGTTCAACCCGTCTTCCAAAGTCTATGGCTTTACATCAGTGGATATCAAACCAAATGGAGAGGATGAGGTAAGATTAAATTTTATGTACAATCTCCTTCTGCCTTTTACTGAGATGCATGAAATCCTATCGTTAGTTCATTTCATTCCCTTTGGTATCATTTCAGCATAAACCGTAAAGCTCTTTGATTTTAACACATTTAAACCAATTTTAGCGTAAATGCATGAATTACATATTGAATTTAAATCCATTGATTGATATTACATATTAATAATACACTCTTGCCTATCTCCCAGGAGGTGACATTGGATAATGTAGAGGAGTATGTGGAGCTGGTGACTGATTTCTGTCTTAACAAAGGCATCAGGGTACAGATGGAGGCTTTCAGGGGTAAGATAGGGAAAAATATTTCAACTGATCTAGTTAAAAGGATGTTTTAAGATCATTCTGAAAGTAAATATGAACTTACATACTTCAAGAAAGTAACTGCTAAGCAGGAACCTCTTTGTGCATCTCACACCAGTCTAGAATAAGATAATAGACATCTGGAATGTGATTTTAACTATATGATGATGATCTTTCCAAGATGTTTTCTTCTTCTTGACAAACAGTAAGTAAGATTTTCATTGAAGACAAGGTGAATATCTTATATCCATTTGATTAAATACCATGTTTGTATTTGTTTTCAGCTGGTTTTTGCCGTGTGTTCCCCATGGAGAAGCTGCATTCATTCAGTCCGTCTGAGCTGATGTTGATGTTGTGTGGAGATCAGGCACCTGTCTGGTCCCGGGAGGACATCCTGCAGTTTACAGAGCCCAAACTGGGATACTCAAGAGAAAGGTATGGCATCTGCTATGTGGTTTTCCTTGGTCTGGAAATAGTGACCCTTACTATTCTATGGTGTTGGATTAGAGTGATAAAAATATCTAGGTTCATGGGTGTATTTTTAAAAATACTTAACCAATCTTTCATTAAGCAAGTTCATACTTCTATTGATCCGACATGTGATGACATCTTTATTTTAAATGTGTAATTTTCTCACTTGAAATCTTTCCATTTTCAGTCCAAGCTTCCAGAGGTTTGTCAATGTTCTGGTTGGTATGTCAGGAGATGAAAGGAAAGCCTTCTTACAGTTCACAACAGGTTGTTCTTCACTGCCACCAGGGGGCCTTGCAAACCTGCATCCAAGACTGACTGTAGTGAGAAAAGTGGACACAGAGAGCAGTGCTGATGGCAGCTACCCTTCTGTTAATACATGTGTGCATTATCTGAAGCTGCCAGAATACTCTTCAGAAGAAGTAATGAGGGAGCGGTTGCTGGCAGCAACAAGAGAGAAAGGCTTCCATTTGAACTGAGGGAAGAAGGGGTGGAGGGGGAGAGTTCTGTTATGTATATGAAAGGTTTAAGTGTGACACATGTCAATGGTTCTCATTTGTTTATTGGGCCTGCTTTTATGTAGCCACATTGAAGGATGGGTAGATCTTTTTACATGATTTGTGACTGCAAGGATAATCAAGTCTGGCAAACTAGTGGCAATTCAGCACAAAGTTGAGGTCAATTACCAAGAACATTTTCTTTTTTATACCTAAACATGCTTAATTGTGTGAAATATGTATTATGCAACACAATACATTTAAACAGTGTAATTTTTTTTTGTTTTACTGAAGAGAATCACTGCAGTTAAAAGCTATATAGTGTGTGATTGCCAGTATCTTTTAAAGCCTGTGCAATGTTATATATGGTCTACTTTGTGTAGACAGCCATTTAGTCTGATAATAAATATTTATCAGTTTTTCTGTTGTTGGTTTTGATCCACATTCTCAAGTGCATTCATTTCTAAAGGTATTTAAATAAAGGACAGCTCTGACTTTTTTCTTTTTTCTAGAAAGAAATGGCATCTAAAAATTAATGCAAACATTAAGATAAGAAATTTCATTCTCATTTGGCATCAGTGCTTCCACATCTGCCTCCATATAAGCATATAATCAAACAAGTAATTTCATTTTTCCTGTTCTATAAACTGAAGATTTAATCTAATCAGTAACAATAAAACTATGTTGCTCTTAATGCTGTACTTCAATTGAACTTGCAAACATTTATTATCCATGTAAATTCATTTAACTATTTATCCAAAATATATTTGGCAGCTTTGAAAAATACTTGCACTGATGTTATTATAATAACCTGTTTAAGGCAAAAGTATTTGGTATTTTGCCACACAAGTCCACCTTCACAAGGCATTTCAAACACTAAATGTCTTTGTCAGGAATTATGCCTCTCAACCAGGATTCCAAACCTTTTGTGGGTGGTAAGTTTCATAAACTTCAAATATCTATACAGTTTAGCAAGCACTACCATTTCAGTCATGTATATAATATGTCATAGTGTCCAGGTCTATAAAGAAGAGCTATTTTGGGGGTTGAACCATCTGGAAAGTCATGTGCATTTGTTGTCTCCCCTCCACGGTCCATGTATTCCACTCTAACGGACACTCCAGTGACAGCAGTCAGTGCTATGATGTGAATGTGATCACTCTCTTTGCCCATAGGCTCCACTTCCTGAAATGGGCATGAAAATTCATCAAATTACAGAAAGTTCACTTAAAGGTGCATGGTACAGAGATAAATTGAGCTTCGCAACAAGTTGAACGAGTTGAAAATTTAAACTGAAAGAGAAAAATTGGGCTTGCATGCAGTTTTACAAAAGTTAAAGCCGTACACAGTTCTGACTAAAGGCAACTAGATGGCTTGTGGAAAAAACCTCTGAGCAATTAAAACAAAATGTCAGCTTTGTTTTTTTTACCTGATTACAAAACTCCTTTATTGTTCTATCACCTTCCACAAAATTAGAAAAGAAATCTGCCTCTTTCTGGAGATGACCAGACACTAAAAGTCTAGAATTAAAAAAATAAAATATTTGATGCTATTAGGAAGCATAAGAGAATCATTTTCTTATTGAAATACAAGTACTTCACTTTTAAACAATAACATTTCAATTACTGAGTAAGTTTTGGCTACAAAAACAATTTCTCTGTTATTACCTTAGATAAACAACTAGGTAATCTGAGTATCCCTGGTCATTGAAGATTTTGTGCAGTTCTTCTAATGGGCATTGACTACCAACTTTGTCCACAACTTCCATAAACTAAAATATAAAACATTTCAAGAGTCATCCTCTGATGAAATAACATATAAAAAGTAATAAAATCCCTACATGTATGATCAGACATAATTGAAACTTACAACCCTGTCACATAAGTTGAGGTCTATCAACAAAATAAAAGCACTCATTTTGAAATTGAATATGATAATTATATGTATACTCCTGACAAGTGCAAAAGACACCCACAGAGTAATCGAAAGTCAAAAATACAGACCCAGCCATAATGTTTGTAAGGATGGGAACACTCTAAAATGGGTGTAGTATTCATAATATGTATGAGAATAAGTTATAGAAGATCTTTATACTTACAGTGTCGTGGAAATCTTCTATGGTAAACTGAGGAAACCCTAGAGAGACTAAAACATCTTTGCTTTTAGATGCGACATCCCTGAATCTGTAAATGTACATAATTATATAATTGGCCTCAACTTTCTGCACAATTATAAAAGGAAACCAAAGATAGTATAATGATTAATACTTTTTGTATTATGTAAAAAAATTTTTGGTTATTTTTAAACATATAATCAATAAATACTTTGAAATATGGTACCTGTTGAATTCTTCTTGATCTTCAAGGAGCTTTTCAAAATATGCAAACCCAAAAGCCCTGTAAAAGCAGTTGCCATCACCTCTTGTTTTACGGAGGCAAAGATACTTAGACTTCAGGCTCTGAAAATTTAAGGTAATCAGACACTGAGTATAAATTAAACTTCATAACTTCTTCTATCTTTTATTTAATATTAAACACCTCATCAAGTATCATTCACAACTAGATGAAAATGGTTTAAACACAAAATTCTAATACTTACTCGCACTTTTTTAATATATACAGGGTCTTCTGCATATTCTTGTTCTAGTACACTGAAGTCCAAACGTTCTGTGACAAAGTCCTGAGTTCCAGCAATCTAACACACAAAATATAACATGTCAATCAATTTTCTGTTAAAGGGCATGTTCCAAGTTGGTTCCCATCCATCAAATTAAAACTTTTAAAATGAAAAAAAAAAAAAAAAACTTCATTCAGAATAATGTGCAATTCAAATGTTTTTTTAAATAAGTATATACAGTTTTATAGTATTTTGTTGATTTTTTTTATTTAAGTTCTGTTTGGTTTGTTTTCATCGGTTTTATCTTGAACAATGGATAATAATAACATTCAAATGCAAAACCAGCATATCCTTTTTTTTTTGCCTACAAACCCTGACCAAATGCCACCATACAATTTCAAACAGCATAACTTAAAAAAAACAAAACAAAGGGCATTGTTTCACATTCCCCAAAAATGATTTTCTTTCTGTGTTATATATATATATATATATATATATATAACACAGAAAGAAAATCATATATATATATATATATATATATATATATATATATATATATATATATATATATATATAACCCTTGGTAGTTTTTAGCAACTCATTTGGATAATTGTGCTATTGCCCTTATAGCAGTAATGTACCATACATTTTGTTGTCAGTTTAGCAGACTTCTACCAACTGGAGGGAAGGATACATAGGTCAATTTACAACCCTATATTTGAAGAAGGTGCAGTTTAAAAGGCTTTCATGGCTGATCGAGTGATTAATTCAGTCCATCAATTGGTATGTCGAATTTTGCAAGTGGAATAAGAAACTAGCACAAGTGCTTTATATGCCTTATTGGGAATCCAAGCTCACTTCACATGTAACTTTAATGAGCAGTTATAGCATGTGGTCCAATTGGAGATAGTAATTTTTTAAAACACCAAAAACAATAATTTCTTGAAAACACCCAAGGCAACAGAAAAGATGGTGATACTGCAGTACTTATTTGCAACATATTAGTTCATACAAATCTCAATTTTGAGATTTGATCAAATGAATAGTCAACTTAAAATAATACCCAAAAATCTACATTACATCAACATAAGAAAATGAGCCACAGCAAATGAGCTACAGCATAAGAAAATGGCCCACAGCATATGCATCCAGAAGTCAATATTAGCCACATTGGTGTAAAAGATATATTGAGTTTACCCACCTGTTTTTCAATAATCCTTTGCTGAGCAAGTGTTTCTTCATCATAGTTTTTGTCTGGATACAAAAAAAATGACACTGTTAATTATTTATTTTGCTATACTTGATATTTTTGTAGGAATCCAATAAATAAGTTTATTGGAACCCAATAAATAGACCAATGGTCATGTATAGTTTCTAAACTTTATGTTTTGCCAAAGTTTATCTGTATACGTTTGTCTTGTAACAACTGACATAAATTCATGTTCAAAACCCCATATAAACAAATAATAATCAATAATATAATAAAAAAGAACATGCTCATGTGCAATCTTCAATTTAGAACTCGACCTGTAATTCTGGCTGCCTTTCAAACGACTACAGCGAGTTTACAACAAAACAATTTTCTTTGTGTTCAGTTAACTTCATATCAACACTGGAACCAAGGAGTTTCAAATCTTGAAACTCCTTGCTGGAACATATCAAATTTACTACTACGAATCACAGTCGTCAACTTAAGTGGAATCTGTCGTATGAATTTTTTGTTACAGTTCTTACTTTCAATATTTTACCAAATAAATCATAACAAATAAACGTATAGGTGAAAATTGTTTTATTTTGTTTTTGCATTTACCGCTAAAATATATACTTCTACACTTGAAAATGACAGTGCATCATCACATGTTTACCTGGATCATAGTGTAAAGTTCCTTCTTCCGCCATTGTATTTGTATTTTTGCGCATGCTTGGTAGTAATTTCCTGTGTTGCTGTGACGCCATAATGCGCGAAAAATGATCGAGGACAGTGGTGTGAAATGAAATTTCTGACCGACTTTTTAATGTATTTTTCTATATTTATATAATAATAACCATTGCAAATGGCCCATCAAGGTGAGTAAAAAACTTTTTGTCGTTATAAATAATACAATAACAATTTTATAAATGTATTAATGCTACTAAGAACTAATTCTATTTCAATATTCATTTTCAATATTGCTAACTTGTAAATGTTTCTAGGTCAAAGAAAAACATGGAAGGGATCTCATCTAAGGCATTCCTCGGCATCAGGAGACAATTTGCGCCAACTTGTGTCACATCTGCCAGACGTTGTAATACACACGGAACACCACCGGCCCATGCCTTACGACACACAGTTTGAGGCTGTCTTACTCTTTGTTGATGTCTCTGGATTCACGGATCTATGCGAACGCTACACCAGCTTGAGTAGTAAATCAGGAGTAGATCAGTTAACACGGACACTGAATGCCTACATGGGGACACTGGTAGATGAGATTCTCACTGCTGGAGGCGATGTCTTGAAATTTGCAGGTATATTTTATAATTTTTTTATAGCGCCCAGTCACTAGCTGTTGTGGACATTTTAATGAAATATTATTATATATTACATTAGATATTATTATTATTATTATTATTATTATTATTATTATTATTATTGCAGCAACATAGTAATTGGTACCACTGATCTTCAACAGGTACTATGGTGATGCCAAAATTGGATAGTTGCTGCATTACTCTCTCATGTTTATTGACAGATTTATTTTTTTCTTTTTGATGTCATACTGGCGGTATCAATCAGCACATTCACATTCACTCTCTTATGTTAAAACAATAGTGATTATTAATTAATTAATTAATACTTTTCAAGCTGACATTTTTGCCTCTTTAGTTATGATCACAAGCACATAGTCATGATCGTGAATTTGACAGTGTATTTTGAATTTCTACCTTGTTAACTCAGGTGATGCAATATTGGCTGCTTGGAAGTGCACACGGCCAGATGAAATAAGAAAGAAAGTTATTCAAGTTGTGAAATGCTGTATAAACATCCAGAGGACATGTGGTGAATATCAGACTGATGTTGGAGTAACACTACGAGTGAAGATGGGTTAGTATGTTATCTGCAGTTTGTATATTCATACATTTTATTGCGGTACCAGGTAGATTGATGAATGTATCAGTAATTGTTAAAAAAATTTTCTCTGTATGCATTATGTTTTTCCCCATTGAACAAATACATACAAGAGTCTTCTTAGTACAATTATGATGTTATTTTTGGTATCTTTTAAATTTTACCAATCTTATGCTTGTTGGAAGTCCCCTTCTCACTCTTTCCATTTTCACTTTATTGAAATATTTTTCTGTGTTTAGATAAAGTAGACATCCAATCAAGCATTCAAATTTTTAAAAAATTAATTTTAATCAATTGTCTGTCTCTCTTGTAGGTGTTGCAGCTGGTAATACGACAATCAACTTCATAGGCAACAAGGAGTACTGCCACTATGTATCCACAGGGCCAGTTGTAGAGGAAGTGAACAAAGCAGAATCCTTCTGTTGCCGTGGAGATGTTGTATTATCTCCTTCCGCATGGCAGTACTGCAACAAGAGGGTCATTGACCATGAAATTCTGTCGGACGGGAAACATGTCAAGGTAAAAATCCTTAGTACAGCAGACAACTGTTTTATTTTCTACTGTAGTCAGACATGAATTACATGTATGCAGTGGAATAAAAGGGCTGAATGTATTGTTAAAAATGGAAAGGATAGAAATTTTCGCATGGATATTGGGTAGTCTATCATGAGTAAAGGTGTTAGTGAAAAAAAGAAGAAATAATTGATGAGTATAAATGCATAATTAATTGTTTTAAGTGCTCTTTGATCCACCTAGGTTCTTCATGTGATGGATTTTGATGCATCCAACCCTTATGCCAGTGCAGGCTCAGATGCAGGTAAATAAATCACTGAAACAATGAATGAAAAGGTATACAATTTTTTATATGTAATGCTTTGATTCCACTGTAATCCACTGTAATTCAAAATGTTACTTTTTTAACACCAAAGAGAATGTTTTTCAAATCCTGTATAAAGCCATATAGTTAATTGCTAGCTTGGACAGAGTGGAATTGTGTAGTATATTAAGCCAAAACATAACAGAAGCTGTCTGCAATGATTTTTTATTTAATTGCTTGATCCTTTTTTTTTTTAAGCTGGGACCAAGAGGCAACTGGATCCCCTGCGACCACCTGGATCCCCTCAGACAGGGGGAAAAAATGTCAGAGGTAAGGATCTTTATTTTCATAAATCTCATTACATATATGAATAATTGTATTTTATAATTGCCTTAGTAATATCATTTTAAGACAGAAATATGTGCATAATAGATGAAGATTATATGAAAAGAGATATAATTTTAATACAAACACAGTAAATGCATCATAAGTATAATGTTTGTCATGTGGTATTTAAATGCACATTAGCACTGAAGTTGTGGCTCAGTTTACATTATTATTGTTTTTTGCAGTACAAATTGATGTTATGAAGATGATGGCAAAGCGTCTTGGGGTCAATCTAGACCAGGTGTTAAGATTGTATGTGCCAAAACCTGTGCTAAGAAAGGTAGGGTATTTGTATAAGTATATGTCTGTAATGCTAGAAATAACAATTGGCTCTGCTGGACCAAGACTGATGATTTTTTGGCAGGGCCAATAGAATCTGAATCTCTCAAAGGGACAGTTGTGTTTTGTAAAATTGGGACTTAAATTTAAGGGATAAAATTAGCTTTTAAAATCTACTAGCCATGGTGGATTCTGGTCAGTGAAAAATTTAAGAACATATATGATACTACAGAAATGTACTCCTGAGAGGAGTGGTCAGTTAACATGTTGGTGTATTATGGTAAAATTTGAGGTCTGCTCATTAAAGGCTTGTCATTGCATATCCTATAAGTCACTGTGATGCATTTTTATACTTTTGCCAGCACTTGGCTCTGTATGCATATTTCTGCCAAATATTTAAAAGTTTGTTTTTGCAAAAGAAATTAATGTTTTACAAATTTATCACTAATTTAAAAATATTTATAACTGTATGTATCTAAAACAAATAACTTCCAATTTGCCCCCTGTATCTAATTTTTGTACTATGTCATTCTAGCTTGATGATAACTTGCCTACAGAATACATGTCTGAGATGCGTCTGGTGTCCATTGTGTTTGTTAACTTAATGCTGTCTGAAGACCAGACAACCAGTACTCATAGTCTGTTGCAAGATGCCCTGGATATCATCTACCCTGAAGTCAGGTCATTTCAAGGTAAGGACCGATAAAATTGTCAACTAGGTGAACTTGTGGTGACTCTGTGTAAACAGGGTCAGTAGAAGAATTTTATTTTTGTTTTTTAAACAAATGTTTGAAGTGCATGGTAGCTTAATTTTCGGGTTGTTCTTAGTTTTTTATTGTACATGTTTATGTTTATGTTTATGTTTATGTTTATGGACGGCATTCACTGTACTTATGGGGCAGATAAGATAAAACTTACCAGTAATGCATAATTTCTACAAGAAGATTACTTTTTCAGGGTCTTTGAACAAAATATTCATGTTTGATAAAGTAAGTATTCCATTTTTTTACAAACCTGTTTGACATAGTAGCTTTCTGTTAAGTTGTTAACATGTGCAAACCGTAAAAACATGAAAAAATATTTTTATACCTTTGACCCATGACTCAAATAAACAATTTTTTTTAATATTAAGATAATTTTTGTACGCTGCTCTATATGACATTTAAATGTGGCTGTTATATTAATCAGGGGTGCACCTTCCTGGTCCTGTTTGGTTTACCTGGCTTTAAACATGAAGGGGACTGTGCCCATGCCTTGCAGTGTTCTTACAGACTGAAGAACAAACTGGACATGCATAAAAATATTACGTGAGCCTACTTTGTCTTTTTCATCCACGATGTGAACAAGGTTTTTTGTTTTAATTGGTTGAAAGTCTGCCATCAGAAAATTATAAACAAATTGTTTTGGTAGTCACAGTATGATTGTTTATTTAAAGATCTTAATGAAAACAATAAAAAAGCATATGCTATTTTAATTATGCCCAATCTTTTTCTTGACAGGCAGACCTCCATAGGTGTGACTACAGGTAACTCTTTTTGTGGAGTTGTGGGACACAAGGATAGGCATGAATACACAGGTAAAAATATATATACATATGTAAAAAAATAAAATTAATTAATTAAATTAAATATGTTTGTGTGTGTGTGTGTGTGTGTGTGTGTGCCAATATTTGTTTTAGACAAACAAGTTATAGGTATGAAGGCAACAGGGCAATCTGGAGTAAGATAGTGTTCATTTTAATTTACTGCTTTCAATCCCATGTTTAGATAATGCAAATATGCACTTTTTCGCATGTTTCAGAATTTTGGATTATGTATGGCATTTGACATACGTAGTGAATCATTAGTATCACATAGATTTTTTTTACCTATTTACAAATTTAATTTATGTTAAATACCATCAAATTGAAATATCACACGTATGTTTTATAGTGTTCACTATCACTAAAAGATTTGTGTACAACTTTTAGTCATAGGTCGTAAAGTGAACATGGCTGCACGACTGATGATGTATTACCCTGCCATAGTCAGCTGTGACAATGAGACATTTACTCACTCCAAACTGAACCGATGCAATTTCAAAACCATGCAGGCAAAAAAGCTCAAGGGGATGCATAAGATTGGCATAGTTAGGGAATACACTGAGGAAGGGAAGTAAGAAATAGTAAAGGGAGAGTAATAAAATGTATCAGGTTACTTTAATTGTTACAGTAGAGTCATATGTTTTGTTGTGAGCTAAAGAGCTTAAAGTATCTTTATTGAAATTGTTTGTTTGTTTGTTTTTGTATTTACAGTTATTTACTTTTTGATGAGTTAACATAGCATAATGTTAAATGCCATTGATTTTTTTACTAAAATTATCTTTGTTTTCTAATTTTCAAAGAGAAAACATGGCTAGTGATGTTCAAACATTTGAATATCCATTACTTGGTAAGTCTATATTTACTTGGCATACAATAAACAATCAACCCTAGAGAGTAAATATTTAGTATGTTACATATATACAAGCAATATGATGGTTTTGTCATAAATGAATTTTGGCTTATTTTCAGTTGGACATGTTTGGAATGTATTTGTGAATAGCAATAGATGTTAGTATAATTGTGCTTAAAACCTCATGTTTATGTTAAAGCAACATTGCGTATACTTTTACTAATTCAAATTTTCTGTCTTTTGCTGGTCATAATTTTTTTCTCCTTTTTTTGCTTTTCCAGGCCGAGAAAAAGAGATGGAAATTCTTGAGGCAGAACTCAAAGCAATGAAGGCTAATGGAGAAAATCACAAGATGCTTGTAATTCGTGGGGACTCTGGAATGGGCAAAACTAGAGTTCTGGATGCCGTCATCAACAGAGCTTTGAATATGAACATCAAGTTAGTCACTTTGGTCTTAGGAATTTTTGTATACAAAGTCTGTATATCCTAATTTTATTCTTCCAAAACCCAAATAAGAGTTAAATTAGAAAAATAACTATTAGATTTTTATAATGTTTTTTATGTTATTTAATTGTTGTTTGATAACTTTTTTCAGTTGGTTATTTTGACTTGCAGTTTTTGTTTATGTAACCATCTGATAGTAAAATGTTATATAATTTTTCTCCAGAGTTTTTTCATGCACTTTGAATTTGAATGATACCCAGACCCCTCTGTTTCTTGTGCGGAACTACCTGTATCTGATGTTCAACATCCTTCCAAGCATGAATCATCATGAAAAAGAAAGAAAGCTCTCAGAAAAATGTGCTGGCGTGCCAGAAATATTAGACAATCTCTATCTTCTAAATACTTTATTGGGTCTCAAGGTAAAATTTTTAAATCAACCTAAATCAAATGGCAAAAAATATTGTGTTCAGCAATTCAGTCTTCTTTAAATATTGTTTAACANATATATATATATATATGTAACTGTACCACTTAATTAATTTTTGTTGCATTTTACAGTATAACCCTAGATTGCAGATTACTCTCCTGAAAGATTACATTCTTGACATTTTATTTTAATCATTGGCAACAGAAAAGATTCTCTTACACACAAAACCTATTAAGTAATTATGCTTTAGTTTCCAGCAACCATTAGTTATGTGACCCTTGAAGAAAGACAGAAAGCCTTGCATGAGTTGTTGCACAGACTAGTTCACCAGGTAAGTTCTGAAATACATTATGCATTGATAGTGGTCATGATAGTTTTCAGGCAGCATGTACATTATGTTGTTTTTGCTTCTTGTTTATTTATTTAAATAAATATCATTAGATGTAATTTGCTGTCTTTACAATGCTAGTATTTAAAAAAAGTGTTGTCATATATAATATCATTGTAAGTTTTTGACAGAAAATGTATGAGCATTGTTCAAACCAAAGTGCAAATGTCACCACATATTACCTCATACACCATCTGCTCCATGGTTTGATTTCCAAATTTTGCTCTCCAAATTTTCAGATCAGTCTAGAGACTGGGGTAGTCCTGTTTGCAGCAGACGACGCCCACTTCATTGATGCAGACTCCTGGGAGTTTTTAAGCGACCTTGGGATTGATAACAATGCCTTGGTGGTCCTTGCCATGTGTCCTCTCACAGAAGGCAAGGGGTGCAAGCTTGCCCTGGATGCTCTCAAAGATCCCAACACTATATCTGTGGATATGAAGGGCATAGACCCAAAGTGCATGTCAGCTTTAGCATGTCAGATTTTGAATGTGGCAAGGATACCCAAAGAAATAGAAGCGTGAGTTCAGTCTGTCATTTTTTATAACAGAAGCTGATAAATTAGGTGACATGTTGCTTGTACATGTGTATCACACTATGGCTTCTGAATCAATGAGATATATTGTTTCAATTTTGTGGAGAGAGACTTTGGTATTCAGATGTTGTTACATGCCACTGGTTCTAAAATGTATATATAACAACAGTAATCACACACATTCTGCATGATCACAGTTACTGCTGCAGAAGTTTTCATGTCCATGTCTCTGTTCCAGTGTGCTGCACAGTCAGAGTCATGGTAACCCCACCTGGTGTGAGCAGCTACTGAGGGAGATGTTCTGCAGCAAACGCTTACTGATTGTGGAAGATGATGGTTCCAAGCACAGCGTAACTGTGGCACCAAACCCAGCTCTCCTTGTCAAAAAACAGCAGCTAAGAGGGAAAGATTTGGTGGATAAAAAAGACTGGCTCATGGTAGGTATATCATGCAGGCATAGCCTAAATTTTCACAATACTGAATCATATTACGAGGGCCACACAGTTTTAAGAATATTTGACCTTATTTTCATTTTTTAAAAAATTAATTAATTAATTTTGTAGCTGTGGTAAAACTTTCAGGAATAAGAATTGTTTGTTATCATTGACATGTGATTGTTAGCTGTATAATCAGCAAATGATTGGAATGTAAAAAAGATATAAATAAAATCTTTTAAATCATACTTACACAAAGAAATTATACACATGTATATGTTTATGTAAATAGTGTGGTGATAACATATTTTGAAAACATATGATTCTCAAGAAGGGCATCAAAATATTTTAAACTTTAGATTAAAATTGCTGGAGAAAAGTTACTGCTTTATTCTATGCGTGTAACCCAGTTGATAAAATTCTCTGAAAATTTGCTGATATTTCAATTTTGCCTATTGCTAGACGGAGGAAATGACAGAGCTTGCAGAAGCTGGAGAGTTGAATCATGAAAGTGGCACCTCACTTACCAGGATATGTATTCTAGCCCCTGGGGCCAAAATTAATGAAGTGCGCACTCCAGATTCCATGAAAGGTAGGGGCAGGCCTGTGGCCAACAATTTCAAAAAAGGGGTTCTTTTTCTGAAAATTTGGACCTTTTTACCCCTTCAGCTGACTCATCTTGAAAAATCTCACATGAGAAATCGAGTCTAAATGAAATTTAGATTCAGAGTAGAACTTTTCTATCTAAAACAGTAGTTCATTTGAGCCTTCCACCTATATGCCTGAGGGTAATGATTATTGTGTAAAACACATTTTAGTTGATAATGATAGAAATGGTAAATGCATAACTTTGACAATGAGTTTCTATTACAATGGCATGATATAGAATGTGGATTAAGCTGCGATCCTGTTAGATAATTACAAGGTCAATGTTTGTTGTTTTTTTAGACGATCAAAGCAAGTTTTAAAATAAAACAGATAATGTATAACGATAATGTATAGCAATGAGAAATTAGAACAACTGCATAACACATTTTGAAGCGTGGTGTTTTCATCAAAACCAAATTCCATCTTTTTGTTTCTTTTAATTTGTTAGGTATGATCATAACCAGAATTGATCGAATGCAGCCAACTGACCAGATGGTTCTGAAGTGTGCCTCTCTGATTGGAACTGTGGTCTCACGGCAAATGTTATTGGGCGTAGTACCAGGTGCGACGGAAGCCTCCATCACCAGCTCTCTGAAACGACTTTTTGCATCTGGAGTGCTAGAATGTGCATCATTCGACAAAAGTTCAGAGCAGAAAAACATAGTGGCCGAGGCCAGGTGTGACTGTATCCAGATAGGTACTAGTAGTAAGACTGAGGTTGATCCAGCACAGTGCTGCAGACTGATGAAATTCAAATCTGTTCTGATGCAGGAGACTGCCTACGAATTGTTTCTAGACAGTCAGCGCAAGAATCTACATGAAAAAGCAGCCATGTTTCTGGAATCCATGTCCTATGACTGTGCAGCCTGTCAGGAGTCAGAGCAGAATGTTGATCAAGTGAACGTGACATATTTTGTCAATTTGGATAAGAACAAAAGTTTGAAAACTCCCACTCCGAGCAAAACGCCAGTCTTGCATATTATAACAGAGGAGGAAGAACCACAGCCATCAGTGGCCTCTTTTAAGCCAATTCCTTCTTGTAAGAATTCTTTATTTTTTCAAAAATATTTGTACATAAATTTCTACAGTTGCTGCATTGTATCAATCCTCTTCCCTAGGTAGCCACGAATCCTACTGCTAGCTCCTGTTTTCCTGCTTATTTGAAATTTAGGAAATTTTTGAAATATAATTTTTTGGCTGCACAAATCTAGATAATTGTATTTTAGAAATGCTGATTATTGTTTGTTTCAGTTCACATGCGCACACGACGCCACAGTGAAGTTGCTGCCCTTCAAACTATGGTACATTATGTTGGAGCAAGAGAGCACCAAAATGTAATTGAGAGAATGAAAGCAAAATTGGCAGGTTCTGAAGATCGTTTGCAAAGCCTTATGGATCTGACAGATCCTCAGAAACAGAAGGCAGATGATTTAATGAACCATTGGAACAATCTGGATGGTTTTCTGAGGTATTTATTTATTTATTTATTTATTTATTTATTTATTTATTTATTTATTTATTTATTTATTTATACAAGAAAGTGAATATTTATATGTTAAATTGTGCTTTAGCAATTAAAAAAAACACCAAGAATGTTTGAGAGAGCAAAAAAAAGCTCATGATAATTTTAAGTAATTTTTCAGTTAAAAAAGATTGCAATAAAATTGGTTAATGCTGTTTTACAGAAACAAGGCCACATCTTCCAAGGATACCAGCATGTTTCAGAAGGCCAGTAGTTGTGAGTGTGACAGTGTCCTCACTACAGTGTATCCTCAGCTGGTCAGACATTGGAAAGAGACAGGCAATGTCCATAAGACACTCCACTATTTGACAGAAGCTGGTGCTGCTTTCTTGTCAAGAAGTGAGCCTATACAGGTCAGAAGAATATGAATTTATCTGCTTACAATGTGCAACTTCACAAAAAATTCAGGATTCAAGTTCAATATTTATAAAACTTTACAGTGAAGGAAAATCTGTTTTTGAATTATTACTAGACCTTATATAACCACTTTAATAGTGTAGACATATGTAATTACATGTACCCAGTGCATATGTATTCTGCTTGACCTTATTACAGTATTTATGCAGAAGAAATATTTTGAAATGTCCTTAATATTCTAAATAAGAATGTTAGATGTCTTACACACACCTTCCCCAGTTTTCTCTAGCTTTTTGAACCTCTTATCTACCTTTTCAGGCACTGTCCTATTTAAAAGAGGCCAGGAAGATGCTGGAGTCTGTTGACCAGCATTTCCACCCTCTGACGGGAGTGGAACTGTTTGAGGAGGCAGAAATAGAAGCATTGGAGACAAAGAATGATAAAAGGGCTCGCATTGAGAGCCTTTTGGGAGAGGTACTTTTCATATTTAATTTGCTTGTTTCACACTATGAAAGGGAGAGATGGGCCATATAGAGGCTTATCTTTGCTAGCTTTAAGGTGAACATTTGCACATCAGCAACATTGTGTGTCTCATATTAATTAATTAATTAATTTATTTATTTATTTATTTATTTATTTATTTATTTATTTATTTATTTATTTATGTTTTTATGTCTGCTCATTTGTTCCGTCCTTTTTTCTTTCCTTCTTTCATTATCAAATACTTGATTCAAGATTCTGTAGATTTTCTATATTGAAGAACTGTATTTATAAGGCATATATATACCATATTTGTTCTTATTTATTTTACCCATAGGCTTCGTTTGCTACAGGAGACTTAGAAGAGGCAGTGTACCATTTTACTCAAGCTTTACATTACCTAGGTGTACTCCAATTTCACAACAAAGTCTTTGTAGGCCTACGCATCTTCTTTGAAGGCATTGAGCAGTATTTCCATCTCAATGATCCAACTTCTTATATCGGATATGGAAAGTAAGGATATTGAGGAACTGGGGATGATGTGTGCTTCTTAATACATGCCTATGGTAGAATGGCAATTATATCAATACTGACATATTGATTAAGTCATTTGATACACTAATTTTGCCAGAAAAGTAAGATTTCCCATATTGCATTGCATTTCCATTTTGTGAACTAAAAATATCATATTGTATGATTTCTATTGAAAATAAAACTCTTTTTTCAGCCCGGAAGATTGTAAAACCCAGCTGGAGATAGCCCATTGCTTGTTCCAACTTTTCCATCATTATATAGAGAAAGGAGATGTGACTAGAGCCTTGGCAGTTGCACTGAAGCAGGTTAATGTTGTTGAAACTGTTGGAGAGCAGGAGGGCTTACACCAGGTATGGATGTTTGTACTGCAGGGTTGTAGTAACCACATTCAGCAGCATGAGATTTGCCAATTCTTGTACTTAAAAAAAGCATTTCTTTTGATCTTTTTTGTGTATTTTATATGATTGTATTCCCAATTTTCTTTATTAAAAATTAATTCAATTTTTTCGTTGATTCACAGTTAGTTGATCTTGTATTTCAATTATCAAACCAGTAAGCACCTTCAAAAATATTTAGTTTTGAGATGTTAAAATATTTGTTGCATTTTCAGCTGGTTGTAGCATACACCTGTATGATGGACTGCTGCAGATTGAAGAAATGGAGAGGTCTTGCCAAAAAATATGAGGCTATGGCACTGAAAAGGTAAGTATAATGATCAGACTTTCGAGGCCAAGTACCCCTATTTTAGATAAATAAAAGAGTAAATTGTTTGACTTCCAGTTTTTTGTAAATAATAATTAAATACTGACTTTAGTACCATTCTACCAAATTTTTTTAAAAACTGATATTATTAAGTATGCTATATAAAAGAAATATCTGTGTTTTCTGTTATTCCTTCTTTTGCTTATTTAGATGTGCGAATATCCTGTGTTCAGACTTTACCCCAGACAACTTGGTTGTAGTAGCAAATGTTTTCTGCACATGCTTGGAATCTAGGTTGGCAAATGGGGACATTCAAGGAGCTGTAGAGAGCGGTATGTCCCACTCATCTCTCATCTAAAGAAAGGCAAAGTTGCAAACCTAAATGATCACTTAATACATAGATGTACAGTTGGTCATGTTTTTCACAATTTGTGCATGAAATAAGTGTCAGATGGGCATTTTTTTTTTTCTGAAATTACTATTAAAAAAGAAAAAGACTACCACAAGATCAATTCAAACTAGGTACATNATTTATTTATTTATTTATTTATTTATTTATTTATTTATGTTTTTATGTCTGCTCATTTGTTCCGTCCTTTTTTCTTTCCTTCTTTCATTATCAAATACTTGATTCAAGATTCTGTAGATTTTCTATATTGAAGAACTGTATTTATAAGGCATATATATACCATATTTGTTCTTATTTATTTTACCCATAGGCTTCGTTTGCTACAGGAGACTTAGAAGAGGCAGTGTACCATTTTACTCAAGCTTTACATTACCTAGGTGTACTCCAATTTCACAACAAAGTCTTTGTAGGCCTACGCATCTTCTTTGAAGGCATTGAGCAGTATTTCCATCTCAATGATCCAACTTCTTATATCGGATATGGAAAGTAAGGATATTGAGGAACTGGGGATGATGTGTGCTTCTTAATACATGCCTATGGTAGAATGGCAATTATATCAATACTGACATATTGATTAAGTCATTTGATACACTAATTTTGCCAGAAAAGTAAGATTTCCCATATTGCATTGCATTTCCATTTTGTGAACTAAAAATATCATATTGTATGATTTCTATTGAAAATAAAACTCTTTTTTCAGCCCGGAAGATTGTAAAACCCAGCTGGAGATAGCCCATTGCTTGTTCCAACTTTTCCATCATTATATAGAGAAAGGAGATGTGACTAGAGCCTTGGCAGTTGCACTGAAGCAGGTTAATGTTGTTGAAACTGTTGGAGAGCAGGAGGGCTTACACCAGGTATGGATGTTTGTACTGCAGGGCTGTAGTAACCACATTCAGCAGCATGAGATTTGCCGATTCTTGTACTTAAAAAAAGCATTTCTTTTGATCTTTTTTGTGTATTTTATATGATTGTATTCCCAATTTTCTTTATTAAAAATTAATTCAATTTTTTCGTTGATTCACAGTTAGTTGATCTTGTATTTCAATTATCAAACCAGTAAGCACCTTCAAAAATATTTAGTTTTGAGATGTTAAAATATTTGTTGCATTTTCAGCTGGTTGTAGCATACACCTGTATGATGGACTGCTGCAGATTGAAGAAATGGAGAGGTCTTGCCAAAAAATATGAGGCTATGGCACTGAAAAGGTAAGTATAATGATCAGACTTTCGAGGCCAAGTACCCCTATTTTAGATAAATAAAAGAGTAAATTGTTTGACTTCCAGTTTTTTGTAAATAATAATTAAATACTGACTTTAGTACCATTCTACCAAATTTTTTTAAAAACTGATATTATTAAGTATGCTATATAAAAGAAATATCTGTGTTTTCTGTTATTCCTTCTTTTGCTTATTTAGATGTGCGAATATCCTGTGTTCAGACTTTACCCCAGACAACTTGGTTGTAGTAGCAAATGTTTTCTGCACATGCTTGGAATCTAGGTTGGCAAATGGGGACATTCAAGGAGCTGTAGAGAGCGGTATGTCCCACTCATCTCTCATCTAAAGAAAGGCAAAGTTGCAAACCTAAATGATCACTTAATACATAGATGTACAGTTGGTCATGTTTTTCACAATTTGTGCATGAAATAAGTGTCAGATGGGCATTTTTTTTTTTCTGAAATTACTATTAAAAAAGAAAAAGACTACCACAAGATCAATTCAAACTAGGTACATTTTAGTGCATTTGTAATCCTTGCCATAAAGAAAGTTATTTTGTCAGAACATCTGCAGCTTTTTTTTTTTTTTATAATTGCTTTACTGCTTAGAAGTGCATGCTGACATCATTGCAATATTAGTATTGAATCCTTTAGGGGGATCTGCCAAAGTTATTGCTGAAATGCTGAGAAGTCAGGATATGGAGGTTGAGATTTGGCCATCCCAGGCATCTGCACTGCTGTACTTAGATCGGTAAAGTTCTTGTGAAAAAGGTGTACCGTATGCAAACTTGCATTATTCTGTAGTTTGCAAGCAGAATCTAGAAGTGAGCATGGTGGTAATTACTTTAATAACTAAATAAAAACTCTATGAAGATCTGCTGAAACTAGAGAGAGAAGAATGGTTGTAATTTTTTTAGCCAAATCTTAGTTTGGAACATATTGAGAATTTTCTTGATTTTGTTGGTTAATGAAGTTTTTAGCATGTAGCTCTTAGTTCTGTTATGGGTTTTGTAATAGAAAATATGTAAAATTTTGATGATGATGATGATGCATTGTGCTCTGCTTCTATACCTGATGGCGAGGAGTACAGTTTTTTATTTGAATAGAGGTAGAGACATAAAGGGGTTGTTTCTTTTAGGTTTGTCAGCTTGCAATTGTGCTAGATATTTACTGACAGAGAGAATGCTGTGAAGGCATCTAAACAATATGGTAACCTATGAAATTAATGACATAATATAATGCCTTGTTTTTCAGTATTTCGGAGTGTGAAACAGTGCTGGAACAACTTGAATCAGTTGCAATCATGTCCAACAATCCACTAGGAAGTGCATATTTTATTGCTGGTTGCTTGGACGTAGGATTAGATGCAGGTAAGAACCATAACCTGTTATATCCTAGGAAGATTTGTCCAAGACATTGTTGTATTAAATTCTTTTCCAGCTCATTTTCCAACCAAATCAGTGCAAGTAAGTGAAAAATGTTTGAGACCTTTTCTATTTTTTGTCATTTTGCTTATTTTTTCATATATTTGTAGCTGCTTAAGAAATGTACTTTTGTCTTTTTTACTGTATTTTTCTCTGTGTTCACTGTAGGTTACCTAGTGCGTCCTTTCAAACACTGTGTGGACTTCTGTGTCACTGCAATAAAAGATCCCAACCTCCAGAGAGACAAGGGTATATGCTTTTACCTGGCTGTAGACTTGGCTCTCTGGTACATTTTACTCTGCTTTTTTCATTTTCCATCCTTCTCATTTGACCCCTACATAAAAAATGTCTTCCAGCAAATTATCAGTTTGAAAATGTATACTAATATACCTGCACCTTTCATATATAGAACCAAAATAGTTATACAGTAATGCATTAGTATTTCTTATAGCATGTTTTTTCTTCTCAACTCAGAGCAAAAGAAAAGTATTTGAGGATATTACAGCTGCAGTCCCTAGCACACCACATCACTGATCATAATTTTTTCCTGCAGGTTTGCGAGAATTAACCATTGGAAAGAATCAGATACCTGGTTTGAGAAAGCTCTGGAATGTCAGCCTCAAATTCAGGAAACTGTCACCTGCTTCAGGACTGTCTATGCCATGGTGAAGATGTGTGAATGTCGTCTGCTTTGTGCCAATAAGGCTGGTAAAAGACCATTTGCTGATGCACTTCTCAAAAAGGCACAAAAGGTAAATTTCATATAGATCTACATCTACAATGGATTGGTTGGAGTGTCAAATGTTTTTTTTCTTTCTTGATATAAATATATTTATTTAAATTACAAGGTTGATGTAGTAACATTGATCTTTTATACAGGACCATCCCTTCATGATAAGAGACTAAGAATACAAATTTACCAAATGCATTTATCTTTAAAGTTTATTCAGATTATATGCTCATTTTTCTAGTCATTAAAAAGCCTTCAGAAGCAAGTTGGAATGCTTCAAGTCCTTCAGCCTCGTATGTTACATATGGAAGCATACCTCAGTGCTCTGAAAGGTAATCTACAGAGGGCTAAAAAATTGCTGACACAGTGTGAAACTGTCAGCAGTGCCATGGGGAACATTCTGGAAACAGAGTGGGCTGCTTGGTCTCAGAAGGTAGGATGTACATTTCAACGAAATATTTCAGCCAATTTTCACCAACTATTTACTGTTACTGTTTCATGAAAAATTATGCTCATTAAACTGATATTCTACTTCATTTAAATGACACTGGGCCAGTTTTTATCAAAGTACCAAACAAAGAGGAAAAAAATTAGCAATGCACAATTGTACCATTTGTTTAATTTAATATTTCAGGTATGGTTTGACCCAGCGTATGCTGATCATGAGAACGCATTCTGGATGCAGGGAGGTGTGACCAGAGTTCAGTCCATAGACAGCACTGGAACTGCAGCTAGTGTGAGGTTCTCTCTGCCACTGTCATCTGTGACACCGAATACTGCTTAGAACCCCTCATAAGACTTATTGCTAGACTCCACAAGTCATTGCTTTGATCTTAATGAAGTATTGTCTGTGAGCTATTTTCAAAGAAGGATTTTTGTGATAATAGTTTTTATCAGTTTTATTTTCATTTTCATAGCTTTTCTTTTACATATTGAAGCAAAATAACTTGATGTGTTCTGTTTAAACAATTTTATTCCCATAAACAAAACTTTTTAACAGATGTTTTCTATTTGGCAAAACATGTTGATGAAATAAATGTACATTATATATAAGGACCATCACCTGTACAATAAAAAATATCACATAAAACCCATATATATAAATTCGTCTTCTTCCTTCTGTACATAAGTAGCTATTCCAACATCTATTTTAATAGCACAATTATATTTTACTTTCTAAAATCCCAACACATTAAAATATTTCTTATCAAATGTGACAGGATTATTCTACACAATCTGAACTACACTAAACTCGATAGGCTGAACATTTAGACTACCCATCTTGTCAGAATAACAATACAGTTGACATGAAACTCTATCTCTTGTATATCTTTGCTTAGTTAAAAAGCAATTGCTTTTTATATCATGCAGTCATGTAATTAACAGAATGTCTTTTGTACAATACCAGATTTTCACAATCAGTTTAACACACTGGTTGATATAAAAGTGTAGTCATCATGGGAAACTTTTTACCTGTGTCACCTCTATTAACATAATCTAGCTGTGTAATGTGCCCTGTATTTCTGATGTGCTGCTTCTAGTTCATGTGTGCCAGGTGTGTACGAGTGAAAAAATAATAGTCATGTGCATGTTTTAAAAGTATTTTACATTACACCTTATTTGTATTTCTATACATGTATATGCAATTGTACATTAACAACAGTCCTAATCCCCACAACAAACAGAGATCATTTTATTACAGGTCTTAATAAATAAATTCTCTAAAAATCTACATCTTACCCATCCCATTAAAATAATAACTACAGCAAACCAAACAGCCTAGGGCCATTTTCCAATAAATCACATATGACGGTGCAGTACTGAAATTTTCCCTGTCTCTGTGTTAAGCATATTATACTTGAAGTTTGTCTACATCTAAATGCCATTTGATGGCCTAAACACAGTTCAATATGTGATATATTGCACCTTATACTGTTAGTCTTCTAGCATACTGTACAGTCGACTACATTAAATGGGAACCAATACCTCTCAAAGAAACTATAATACTTGCATAAAAAGTATCTCAGCATGTCAATCTATATGCAAATCTTCACAAAACTGCTGTTTTTTTTTATACACAACACAACTTGCACATATAAATTTAAGATGGGTATTGAGGCACCTTCAATTAATGACTAGAATGAAACATTAATTCAATTATACTACATCTTTTGTATGACAACTTGGATTTGGTGGTGTAAACAACTCCCTAGAGATATAAAAATACCGGCAATGGTTTGCAGTCAGCAAAAAATATTACGTTTATCATCCAACAACCCATCTTCTCCAACAGACTGACCACTTTACTAAGAATCACAAAGTTCACCGTTTCCAGGTTTGGATTTCGTTGATTTCCCACTTCTGGTTTCCCAATGAGGCGTCACATGCTGCCATGACCAGCTTCATATTTTGCCCATCTGCCTGGACACACTGACCCCTTGTCTTGTGCCTTACCTGGTGAGTTGACTGAAATACAGACATGTACTGATTAAAACTTTAGCATGCTGTATAAGAGACGGGGGCAAAAACAGAAAATGTTTATATCCAAGGAGAGCCTTATCCCTAAAAAAATTTTTACTGAAATGCCACGCTGAACCATTTTATAAAAATTCTGCACATTGCTACAGTTTCTTTTCTTAAAAATGAGAATGATCTGGAAATCGTATAACAATAAATCTGCCACTGTCAATAATATATTATTCAAACTCTACTTAAAGAAACCCGTGTAAAATATGGATCAAACAATTATGCACTGCTCATAGAATAATTCTGAAACAGTCCTGCATAGTAACCTGTTGTGCAAAAAAGAAATATACCACAGCTTTGATCAAACTGGCCAAACACAATATTTCCTCAGTAAAATGTAACCCTTTACCAGAGCATAAAGGTTTTACCTACCTCATCAAAGTCCCATGGTCCAGTTGGCATTACTGAGCAGAAGATAACTTTAGGTTGCCCACCAGACAGATCAATGCACCGCTCTCCTACTGCTAACTGACCTTTGGTATTCAGTCTAAACAGCTGAAATAAGAATCAAATTTTATAAAGACATCATTCTAAAATGTCCAATTTGGGTATTATGTTGTGTAAACTATAAACACTACTGTAGATCATGTTCAACCCTTGTGTATCCTTTCAGTTTGGTTGCTCTCAGACAATCCAAATATTTAACAATACAGTTTACAACATTCAATCCCATACCTGGTTTCCTCCAAAATGGTGGCACATACTGAGGCCCACAGTATTTCCCACTTGACCTCCCATAGTGTCCCAGCACAGGCGACCATTCTTTTCTTTAAACTGAGGAAAGAAAAATATAACATTTTAATGATCAAACAAAAAAAGAATTTATTTACTAGCAGTGTTTGCCTCTTAGGAAAATAAGTTGCTGGACCGATAGCTCAGCCATCTTGAAAATTAGCTGGCTAGAATGCCTGCCGGGTGGGAAAACTTCTCTGCCCGTTCTGAAAGTTGTCTGCCCCGGGCAGATGGTCCAGCCTTAATTTCTAACACTGTTTACTAGTATAGAGATTTGAACACACACTAAAAATGCCCTTTACAACTGCCACAATCCCAACCTACCATTTCAACAATGACTAAATATTTTACATACATGTGTAACATATTTTAAACCGTTCACTTTCATTTTTCTTCCAACTATCTGAGCTTACTTATTGTAATGTAATGTCACATGCTCCTTAACACAGTTAATCCAGGAAATCATACTTTCTGAGACATTTTCAAGTTTTATTACTCACCTCGCCCCATTTCTTGTTTGGTGGAGGTGGTGGGAAACGGTCATATATTTCATATGCAATATTATCCATAAACCATTTGAAACTTTTACAATTGTGTTTTTTCTTAAACTCCAGCTGTTCAGAAATATTTCCAATTGGGTATCCCCTGATGGTAGGCTCACGGGTGTAAAAATACTCCTTGAATTCATCATCTAACCAAACTTCTACAACTCTCATATAATTCTGAAAGAAATGCAAATCAATTTTTTTTTAATTAACACAAAAAGATACATAGATGGTTTGTTTATATTATGTCGATCTACTTCAAATCTTGATTAAATAACAGATCAAACAAATAACTTTCCTAAAGGTAGTTTTCGATTCACAGACAGGGAATCGTTTCGCTCCATTGAAAAATACTTACAAGTAAAACAACTGGAATCTTCACATCGATATTTCCAAATCCATATGGCATATGATTCCTGTAGACATGACCTACATGAGAACATGGCACCCATTCAATACTCCCACCACACTGCCAAATCTGGAAAGATATTGTACTTTATGTTAGTATCTATGCCCTAAAATACATTTATTGGTGTCCTGTACCATGCTAAGACTTCATAAATTCACTCAAATGACTTATTTAAAAAATGTGCCGTTTTGTAGAATTAAGGATTCTGTTCACTTTGATACATTTTTGCATTTTCAGCCTAATTGCTCATTTTAAAAAAAGAATCGCCTATTACCAACTGTTTTCAAACAACTTCAAATTTTCTTTAGCTTAAGTGTTTCAATTTAAGCATTTCACAGTAAAAGCATATATACATTTACCATAAAAATGTTTTCTAGTGTAATATGTCTTCAACCTCACCTTAAAAGAAAGTTCGAAGTTTTCGCCACCCCATATCATCATTCCTGGATCATAACCTCCTAATTCAAAGAAGTATTTTCTGTCCATTGCAAACAATCCGCCTGCATGTGTTGGAGACCTGCAATGTAATTATCATTTCAAAAAACTAAAAATTAAGTTTATGTTTTCTTGTTAATGACAATGAAGAAACAATACCTGTCAGACTGTTTCCTTTACAAAGCATAGCGTTTATGTTTTTTTTTTTTTCTAAATGGTCTGCTTGAATACTTTGTACCAAAAATGCTCCTTGTAAAGCATGTCTAATTATTGACTATTCAAAACTATTTTTTGACAAAATGGCAAAAAAGTTGGCAATTTTTTCTTACCTATAAGGTTCACTGGAATGCTCTCTTCGAGCAAGTTCTTTATCAGGAACTTTTGATTCTTTATATAAAAATCCCCATTCAAATATTCCTCTATGGTCCCCAGAACTGCCATAAACAGAGTGATAGCGGAAATTATTCCAATCTATGCCATCAACTATAGGTACAGCCATTATTGTTCTGAAATAAAGAAAAAGTGAGTTAAAGCTGATGAAGTTGTTTGCTAATGCTCAACATATTTCCTACCAATTATGACATGTCTCTTCACATCTATCTTTAGAAAACTTGATTAAAATAAACTTTCAGCATATATAAGTCCAAGTTTTAGAGTGTCAATGATGACTATATTACCTCAAAAATCAGGCACACTGACAAAGGGTTGAATTTCTTAAACTCTCAAACTGGGATATGTCGCAAGTAAATATATCTAAACGTTATATCTTGTGATATTTACGAGTAGTTACGTTCATTACTTAACAGATGAAGAGCTCCATTTTCCTAAATAGAAAAAAGGCCATTTCTTTAAAGTATCACTGAGATTTTGGATTTGAAAAACATTTGCAAAAGAATAGTGTTCTTTTTCCTGATATTTACTGACCTGTCATATGCTATTCTGGCCAACAGAGGGACAAGCCAGTTTTTATTACATTCACAATGTGCATCCAGAAACACTATAACATCTCCTTTAGCATACTTTGCTCCTAAAGTACGAGTGCGAATGAGACCTTCTCGCTTGGAATTTCTATACAACTTGACTTGATCTCTAAAATTTTTCAGAAGGTAATCCTCCAGTTTTCCTTGCAGATGCTCTGAAATTGACAAAGTTGTAATTTTCTCAAACAATTCTAAAAGCCTTAATAAGTCATGTCCATTAGGGTTCACTTGATTTTAGATGTCAACACTTCAAATTGATATAATATGGAAGTAATATAATGTTTACGTATGAAGACTTAGCACAGTTGTTATGTAATTTAAATTTTTTCAATGCTTGCATCAAAGTCTATATCAAAGAAACAACTTTGATAGAGATATTCTACACTCTTATTAAATTTTAAATAGACTATGATCCCATTTGGAAATTCATATTGAAAAAGTCCTAACCATTTTTTTTCAATCAATAATATTCCATACCACAGCAGATGTTAAGAACAAGCAATAAAGCCATAGCATAACTCACATTTACACAGAGCACTCATAAATGTGAGTTGCACCAGGAATGGGTCCATTGTTGTAGACATCCACCGTAGTGTAAGTCAAATAACACGACATGTCAGCCAGACGTGGTCAGCACCCACGTGTGCCACATACACCTTACCGACTTGTGATGTGTCCAATCATACCTACCTTTGTCACTGAAGTCATCCACCATGACCACTTCCCGCAGCAGATGAGGGGGACTAGTGTTAATGACACTGTGAACTGTTCTCACTAGAGTACTGAAGCCCTCATTGTGAAAAACCAAGATGACACTGGCAGTGGGCAACTTCTCAGGATACTGCCAGTACTTACACCTGAAAAAAAATTTAATTACCTTTTGGTTGTAATTGTAAATTATTATCATTATTATCATTATTATATGGTCCAATCACAATGACAGATGTGAGGTTGCCATCTTTCCATATTAAGAAGTACTAGTATAAGTTTTCAAGCTTTTCAAGCAGTGTTATTTAATTCTTTATTACACAGTAAACACTTGCTCATTGACAGTACTGTAATGTTAGCAGCTGAAGTCCAAATATCAGTGAACATATTGCCCCTCTATACACGTTCTATCATTATGACCCCTTGAATGATGAATGATTTGGATCAATCTATAGAGGGGGTGCCACACTCCCAAAATAAAGCACTTTTCAGGGTGTGCCCCTTACAATTATGTGTATCAAAGTGCAACCTTACCATGTGCAGGATTAATGAAGGTTTTTCGCAAGACTTCATTTATTTACATCATACACATCTTGAACATACAAAAGACTTGTAATGGAGAAAGGAAAATATCTGGAAAGAATCACAACTTACTCATCTGGTCTTGTATCTGGGATGTTTCTATCCATGGCAATCTTATCACTTGCAATCATATTGAAACCAAATTCTCTGATTGCTCTGTCAGCCGCTGCTTTTTCAGACATGCTCACATATACAGGTTCCCCCATCTCTCCTGCAATTATAGGATATTATGTCACTCTAGAACATATTTTACTAGTTTATATGAGTTAGGTAAACATGCACTGGAAATACACTTAATACATTTTGTATGTCTTTTTACAGGAGTACACTATTATTTATCATGTACATCGCAAGTTGATTGACTGTTGCTCCAACTGATGAATGGTAGAATTCTCAGTTATACGAACATGAGTATTCTTTAAAATCTACATAATCACCTTAATTAAACTGTTACTGCTTTTATGCTTAGGGTTTTCTTTAATTTGGTACATGCTTCAAAAGCTGCCGTTTTCTGAACAAGCAATGGCATTTTGACAAAATAATGGAGTAGGTGACCTTAAAACAATCAGATGGTTAACAAAAAATTTGAAATAAGTATCCAAATGTAAAGCATTCTTCAGTTTTGTACTCCTTATTCAGTACCTGGTCCAGTCTTTGGCCTAGTTTCAGGTTCAAAGTTGCCCATGGTTCCTGGTCTAAGTGTTGCTTGTGGCCCATACTCTTTGGGTTTCTCTTGCTCTTTTTCTTCATTATGCAAAGCTTCTTCTTTTTCATCTCTCTGGTTCATATGCTGGACATTACCAGGATGGTCAACTACTTCTTCTATCTCATCAGCTTCACGGCGACCAGGCTGCTGTCCTTCAAACTCAATTTTCTTCCGTGCTTGCCCTTCGGGAGGATGGAGAACAGAATTTCCATGTTTGCTCTGAAGTTAATAAAGATAATTTTTTTAAGCAAGTAATAAATTATAAGAAATTAATGAATCATCTTTTCAAAATATTGGGTTACTCATCAATTACGTATTTGTTCCATTTCACTAATGAGTGTGCTGAATTTTTACAACATATTTAGTTATTTCATATTATATTTATTCTAGCAAAATATAAATTCTAAAATCCCTTTTATATAATCCTATTATTTTTCAGATTTACCTTGCCCAAATCCTTCTTCCTTACTGCATGGCTCTCTTTGGAATCCAAGTGTGATAGAAGAATAGGTCCAACAAACACCAATGTAATGACTACTGCTCCAATCTTCAGTAAAAACTTGGGAGTCAACCTCATGTTTACTACCTTGGTCCAAAAAGTCCAAAATGAATGCCTGCAATAACCCTAACAAAAAGAAAGTATCCATTTATATATTCCAGTGTTTTGCTTTTTTTTGTTTTTGTTTTCAGTTTGAATGCAGTTACTTCAATATAACAAATTGTTAGTGTGTAAGCATGCACAAGGCAAATGTTTATACAATACTTTTTTACTTGGTATGTATATTATTTAAGCTAGCCANCAAGAAAGGAGACAACTAATACATTTACCAGGTTTTGCTTGGTGTACCATTTCGGTTTGAAATATGTGATTATATAAATATTTTCAGAATCTGTTATATTTGTGACTTTTGCTGAATGTAAGATATAATACCATGTATCTGTATAAAAATGAGCCAGTGTTACTAATGTATGCAAAGGAACCGATGTTCTTGTGTGCAGAACATCTGAAATAAGAAGTCACAGGTCAAACAAATTATATACTCACTGTGTTTTCTTTTCTCTTTCACACCTCAAATCCAGTTGACACACCCCTTTACCTTTTTGTACCTGTGGATAATAATTAGAATAAACAGTTATTTAACAGCATTTATTTCATATATTCACAATACATATATGGTTCTATTTTAGTCAAAAGTACAATCTCCTCTTTTTCTAATGAAACCTCATTCCAATGAACATTATTTATTTGGAGGTCCTTTTTGCTCTTCGTGTGCCTCTTAAATGCAACTTAGGATTTCACAATGCCATCTTAAATATGCAATTAGTTACTCTCTATTAAATTACCCATTGACAGACACCACCAACCTCTGGACATCACATAGCTCTGGGCAAACCAACTTAAACAATTAGATTGCAAAGTATAACATCATTCTCCACACATTTTTTTTTTTTTTTTTTTTTTTTTTTTTTTTTTGTTGCTGGGGGATGGGGTGGGACACATAATATTAAATCTGTTCATCATTATTCTAACCAACAAAATCAGTGACATTGTTCAAAGAGGATGTGGTTAGATAACCCCAGCTGTCACAGCCCAGATTGAACTGGTGTGATTTTTAAAGTACAATTAGAATAAATTGCCACACTCTAGTATCAGCCAATGCCAATCAGAATATTTAAAAATGTTCTCCTTATAAAATGTTGATTTATTCATTCAGTCACTAAAAATTGTGGTCTGCTGTTATTTATCTGTATATGTCAATCTATGTCATATTTATGGATATAGTCACAAATCTCATGAGGCAAAGTACAGTACGACATACATATGTACTAGTAAGTGTAACTCGATCTTGACTTGCCAGTCTTCCCCTTTTGTGGACAGACATAATACACCCCAATGTTATCAAAAGTTATCTTTGTAATTATTTTGGTTTCCTCAATGAATGAGCATTTGGTAAGTTGGAGGGGGGGGGGGGTAAAGCAAGATATACCGTCCAGCTAAAATGCATTAAATAACATACCTAATTTGTGAACAAGACAATATTGTTGCTCGATCTTCAAACAATTATAATTATATAGTGCATGCAGCACCACAATCTCTCCAAAATGGACGCACATAACCTAATACCAACACTTTAATGATGCACTAATATGATGAAGAATTGTTATTATATAGCATCATATATTATTTGTTGCTGATGATGGTACCTTTAATTTCACAGACCAGCTGAATTTATGGTCAGAGCGTAATTAAAAGCTTTTCCTTGAACAAGTTATTTGACAACCAATGCTGTAATGCAGTCAACTCCTAATCTTAAATTATAGATAACCTTACCTGTTTTCATAATATGTTCATTCTGCACAGATCATAGTCCAGGCTCAGTTTACGGAGTTTACAAAACATGCACACATTACTGGAGTGACAACATGGCCCGGAAGTGGATTTTGGCACGAGAGGGCAGAAGACGCCAAGACAAGACAATGTCGTCTTTTCCTTATCATGAAAAATCTCCCAGACGCCGAGACCTGTATTAATAGTTACTCGAGCGGATAACCTCAGTATTGCATTTAATTTCATTTTTTTGTTTATTTTAGACATAGCAGCTTTTTGTTTGTTTTAGACATAGCAGTTTTAGACATATATAGCAAAAGACATAGCAGCTAAAATTTAAACAAGCATAGCAAATTTTAAGGTCGGCCTCTTTTTTTTTTTTTTTTTTTTTTTTTGTCAAATCTACAGTGAATTCGATTATAGTGCATAAAACAACATCAGTAAGTATTTCCTTTGGTCAATTGTAAATTTTCCCATATATCAATCCAATACCCAATATATTTTTGCATTTTCAGAAAAAGGGTCGTGAAAAATATTTCCTTCAAATAAGACCCAGACGCGCTTGTTAACAAACTTTTCAAATTGTTCTACCGGTAGGCCTATGTAGGTCCGTCCTCTTTTTATCATATAAAAAAACTAGAAGGGCTTATTTATAAAGTTCCCATGTATCCCAGGGGCGAATCCAGAGATATTTTCTGACAGTCTTCCAATTTATCTTTGTTGATCCATCCTCCATTTTTGACCATCTTCTGACAGAAAAAAGTTAAATAGTCAATGTAAACTTGAAAACCAGACCGTCTTTTGGAGGACCCAGAAGACAGCCTCAACCCGCCCCTGCATCCCCCCTCCCGTCCCCCGGGGAGAGGATAATCATGGCTGTTCGATCTTTTAATAGTAATTTGGAGCACAGTCCCAGCAGCTGGTTTGACTCGTTCCATAAAAATGCATAAAAATGGCGTGCCATGCAACGACAGCGTTTTACACCCCATTTCCATAGATAAGATCGACCTACTTTAGATCGACCTAACTCCCTGGGGGTTCACGCTAAATAGCTGTCAGCCGGGCGGACACGAAAGTTAATTACCCTCTTACAGCTTGTAGTAGGCGGGACGGACATTTAAGTCGGATTATCTGAAAGTAATCTAGTGAGACTCCCCGCGGGGATAGATCGATCTAAAATCTATGGGAATAGAGCCTTACTTTACAGAACTAAGAATTAAACCTGGTATCATTATTCAAGGAAAAAAATTGGCCAGTCACCGGTAGCATAACATTTCAAAACGTCTAGACGGAAGGAAAGATTTAAACTATAAGGCCACTAAAGATGTCGACAAACAATTGTTTTTTATTCATTTTGACAAAGGATGTTTAACATATTTAACACCTGTGTCATTGTTCTTATCATTTATTATCATAATTTCTCTATTTCGGTACAAATAGACCTACATTTTTGCAATGACTATGAACTAACGATATATTGTTTAAATGAGGTGGTAAAACTACAAAAATAATTTGCAAATATATTTTCACAAAGTTGTTTTAAAACTTTATCATTAATACAGTATATAATCAAGTGCTGTAGTCATAACAACAATATTCTACAATGTTTTTGGTCGTACCAGTGCCTTATTATACTTATGTTAAAGGAAATTTGTTTTTCGTTTACATAGACAATTATTGTCCGTGTCTTCGAGCAACGCATCCAATTTATGGAAATTGATCTCATGAATTTCCTGATTTGATGTCTTACTGCATTGTATAATAGAAAGAATCGATTACAGCTTGGAAGAATCAGTCTATACTTCGTAGGCGGTGATAATTAAACCACATGAAATAGGTAATATCATTATTGATCTCTGTTAAGTCTGTCAGCCTGACTCAAATCAAGAAAGTCAGAGCATCTGCATGCATGAAGTCTTTTTTTTTTCTTGTAGCAAACTTAATGGTTACGCGAACATGATGCCCGGTGGTCGGCTTGATAGGTCGGGTGAACAACATAAACAGAAAAAAGGTGCTAGGAAAGGTAAAACTTTCAAGACTAGTATTCCATTTACTTTCGGTCTTTCTTTTAAATACTTGAAAGAATTTTCTGAGCGAGTTCTCATGGAGAGCCGAAAAATAGATACTTGATAGGGATAACTTTTAAGGAAAATCAAATGTCTTAAGGTGTTACAAATATTTTGTTGTTTAAAAACGGCGTCAGAACTTTAGGGAGAGAGAGAGAGAGAGAGAGAGAGAGAGAGAGAGATTCTTCAGGTCTAAAGGGTTTTCCATTCAGAAACATCCGCATGGCTTACCTGAGTGAAAAGACGACGTTATTTGTAGGAGACCCCAAGCCCCCCCCCCCCCCCCCCCCCCCCCCCACGTCAAATCAAAATTCCTTCAACGGACCTGTAAACGTAGGCCCTACATCCCCGGTATACTTATTATTTTGCGACATTTTGGAGAAACGGGTAAATTTTTTTAAGTTGATTGCATTAGGTGAGGCGAATGGAGTGTTGCACATAAAACAATCAATTGCATCATCTGAGAAATAGGCGATACGAAAAACGCCTTTATCCATCTCTGATTAAAGAGCTTCCGATAGGGTCTTGATTTAAGTCTGGTAAGATAGCTGATACGGGCTGTTGATAGGCCTATATGAGATATAAATTTTAAGTGGACGTATTAATTAGAAAATGATAAAACCGTTTTGATTATGGTTACAACGGTATTTTTTGGCTGTAATGGCTCTAGCTTTACTTTGTTGTGTGTAGAACTCCAAGAGGAATTACGGCTGTGCTCAGAATAGATTGAAGTTCTCGTAGCCTACTATCAGGATTGATCTACCAGCGGGGATTCTCGCTACGGCGCAGTCGAAGTAATCAGCTTAATTGTCTGGCGCGCCCCCTCGTAAATTAAAATACTTGGGTTAAGTCGGGACAACTTTGTGGTCCAATGTTGTTCATGTTGTTTTGCGAGGGGGCGTGCCAGACGATTAAGCTGTTTTATTTCTCATATGCCAGTAGGCCCTACATCAAAAATTAATTATACAGCTTATATATATTACCCAAAAGTGTAGGTTATATATATATATATATATATATATATATATATATATATATATATATATATATTTATTTAATAAGCAATATAAGCAATTTTAGTCTGTCTTTATGCAATTTTTGCCTTGTCTTGGATCCATTGTCGACGTTCAAAACACTTCTGGTAGGCCTACCGTTTTCGTCTGCTGTGGTGTTATACTAAATCCCTCATCCTTTCATTTTTTTAGTTAACGACATCTATCACCTCTCAATAACATCTAATAGGTATAGAATTCTCAGGAAAAAAATGTTATGTGTCATTAAATGCTTTCTATCATATTGACGTACATAATTTTATTCCACGATATACCAACTAAAGGAACACGTAGGAAGCTGATTGACGTACTTTCACAGCACATGCGTATTGATAGGTATCAGCCGGAAGTAAGATCCGCGTAGGCAAGTGCTGGCTGTTGTTCGGTCATATATGCAGTCTGACGTGAAGGAGGATGAAGTGGCGAACCTGTGTATCAGGAGCGATTCTGTCAGTATGCCTGGCAGTAACAGCATATGGAAAGCTTACACGCGCAGAACATTGGTCAGAGAAGCGGGTAAATATAAGTATATTGCTCGCGGCCGACATTTTTATACTTTTAGCAAGAGTTGAAAACTAAGTAGTAGTGCCTTGGCGATGTTTAACTTTATGTGTATTATGTATACAAGTTAACCAGACAGTTTGTTTGAAATGCAGGTACCCCTTACATGCTATATATGTTGTATATACAGTTGTATACGTCTCTTATAGGCTGCTGGTATATCATAGATCATTGGCAGGATGTGGCCAGTGAAAGTTTGTTTTCTAACACCCTGTTGACTCCCTCTTATTTAAATATTTACTTGTCATCTAACATTAAAAATCATAAAAACGGTTTTGTTTGTTTGTTGGGGTATTTAATGAATTGTTAATGAATTGTCAAATTTTAATTTTTTTTTCACCAGACAACACATTTTGATATGGTTAAAGACCTATTCTAGACAAGTTATTTTTCTTTAATTTCTGCCTCTTAAATTATTTCAACAAGTGAGTGACAGAGCTGTGAAGGCTAACATCTTAGCCTTTTTATTTATTTTTTTTTTCGGTGTTCTTTCATTCTCTTCATTGTATTTAATCATTTGAGCAATGAATCAATGTTAGTTTTTTCATACAGTTATAGTTTTGAACTAAATTACAGAGCAAGGGTTTTACTTATTTATATTTGTTTTTGGTGAGGGGTTAAACTATATTTGGTATAATTAGACATTTGTGCAGTCAGTCCATATATATATTTAAGCATTAGTCACAGCATTAAAAAATAAAGCTCTGAAAAACTTGCTAATTTGGTATTACTGATGGTATTTCCTATTTTACACATTTATAATTATTTTAATGAGAAATCTGAAAATCTACTTATGGAACCCCGTCTGTTTAATACTTTTGGTAAATGGTTACAATTTTCCTTGTCATAGACCAAATAAGTAATTTTCATGTACCAGTTTGGTTGTGGGGACTATCTCAAGTCATTGGCATTTGTGTTACATAAAAATAGGTATCAATACTTTGAAAAGTCTATTTATCTTTAAACTTTCAATATATATATGTTTGATGAATCTAAAAAAACTTGTAAGTGTTCATTTTTAATAACTATGTAGAAATGAAATCAGTTGAATAGTTCTGAATGAATACTCTAAAAGTTATAAAAAATGGAATCTAGGTTAAGTACTCAATCTTTCTAATGGGGAAAATTGTAAAATTTGCTGATACTGTATTTTTAAATCATGAATTTTAAATATTAGAACATTTCTGTTGAGTGGTGGCAACAAAACTGAAAATTAGGCTACCCCTATAGTTCTATTTTACACAATAAAAGCACTAAAGTGCTTAATAGATTTATATTTTTCTTGATTTCAAAATTATTTATCTGAAAGATTAATTTTTCCCATTTAAAAGATAGATTCATTACAGTATTTTCAACACTTGTGGTAAGAGTGGGTGACCCTATGGATGGGAATATGAAGGAGTCCTGGAATTTACTAGGTTCACTGCCTGAGAACATGCATGATGACTGATACAAACTTTTAATGTAATATTACTATACTGTGTAACGTGCCACCTAAACTGATTCTAGTTAGGAGGAAGTAGAATGCATTGTTTTTAATTTTCTAAATAAGGTTAATTTAGGACAAAACATTAATAGAACTCCAAAGAAGATATTCTATCTCTGTTTGGATAATGTTGTTGATTGAATTTGGAAAAGGGTTCTATTAACTGTGTTTGATTTCCATGTTGAAAGCTAACTGGAATGGTAATTGATTAATTGATAAATGCCTTGATCTTTAATTATAATAAAATTAAGTTATTTGGGTATTAATGTACTGACTTTGAAATGTTTTGAAATCAATCATTGTTTTCATGACAATCAGATCAAGGTCCTTTGACAGATCTAGATGATGGCTATAATCTTTTTAAATTGACATGTTCTACAGGCTACTTGAAAATAAATGTTGGTCCCAGACCTATCACCATGAAAAAAGAGAGAAAACCAATTTTTCTGATACTGCTTTACTTTTGAGAAAACCTGTTATATAGTATAATTTAATTTGACCTATTATCAAGCATCTGTCTTAGTTACTACTAGATGCATGTGATTAGTGGTGTGTTCTATAGCCTGAGAAAGTAGTGCTAAGTGAAACAAATGCTTAAATGTTGGAAATGTACAGTATCATGGTTACCAACCACCTGTTCAGGAAATCACACTCCGGTGAATAATAGAACACCTTCTAATTACCTGTTAATGTGTCTCCGTCATTAGGAGCTAATGAATCTCTTACCATGGAAAATAAATACTATTGATTACTTGCCCTTCCTACCTGCTGCAATACCTACAACAAGATTATAGCATTTGAACAAGTAATAGAAGAAGAATAAATGATGCACTTCAACATAATACTGTATGCAGTGTGCAGTGTTTTTTCTTTAATTTGAATTTGTCGTCAGTTTTTTTCTGGGACAAATAAAGAAGTTTTCAACCTGTGAATATGACATTAGTATACTTATTGCAAAGTGTAGGGTTTGTAACTTGTTGTATAGTGTCTTGTAATTTTTCTCCCAAACTGTATATACGGAATGGGTTTTCAGATCTACAATAAATAAGGCTAAAACTCTGAATGAAATAACAAAACAGATGTTGTTTATCATATTTTATTTAAAAACCCTCTAAGAATTCTACCATTTAGATGCAGCAGCAGGTAGTATAATCCAGTTTCCCATAAGACTACAATGATGTGTAATTCGCTGCAAAAATTTTATTAATGATGTCAAAAAGGATGTCAGTAGGAAGGTTTTAATGAAGAAGACAAGAAGATTGATAACCAAGGATTTATGTAGTAGGAAATTCTTATTGTGTATACTTCAGAGGTCATTAATAAATATGCTCTTTGGTTATAAGATCAAGAAATCAAAGTAATTTATATTGTTAGTTTTACACAAAAAGAAGAACTGGTGCTTTGTTGTTGTCCTTAACTTAGAAGCTAAAAAGACTGCCAACGCTAACAATTTGTACTTGTTTTATATGTTTTTGACTTCCGTTTTTTTTTCTGTTTCTGTTCAAATTTTTCATGTGTATTATTTTCTAAATAGCACAATGAATAATGGAACAACCTGTATGATAAACTCTGATATTGGTAATCCTACCTCATTTAATCTAAGACACATTTCTAGTCAAGCTGTGACAGTTTAATTTAACACTTACTGTCTCAGCAGATGGCAAAATTGTAATTTTTTTTTACCATTGGAAGCCACAGTAATCTTTCAACTTTTCTGCCAACAAACCACCAGACACCAGAAAAGTGACCACCAGAAAGCATTGATGAGAAAAGTCTTGTTTTTAAGTACATACTGTAATAATAATAATAATAGTAATTGAGGTTTATTTATTTCTTCAAAATATATGTTATATATTGAATGTACAGATATATAAAATCAAACTTATACCTGGTTATTATGTATCGTTTTCTATTCTTATTCTTTCTCATCTCCCTGGGGAGAATATAATGTGTGGCAGTCTGGGTGAACTGACACAATTACCAGTGCTACAATGTGACCAGGTCTTTTACCCCTACTTCAACCTCTATTATATGTGCTGAGTGCTTAGCAAGGAGACTGCAGACTATTTTCATGATGATCTTTCGTATGACCTGGCCGGAGATGGAACTCGCCACCTCCTTCACCGAAAACAAGCACTCTTCCATTTAAGCCATGACTGGTCCAGTCATGTTTGTCACAGTAAGGGAGGTTTGTCAGAATTGTCCTTAAAAACGAAACTTTTGAGGGCTGACTGCAACAAAAGGTCAAATGAAAGGTCAAATGAGATTAGAGGTCAGTGATGCCCGTGACCCAGGTGACCCAGGGCCATCCTCACTGGAGACTTCTGAGACAAAATATGGAGGTTAATGTTGTGATCATTCCATCTGTTGAGATGGTAACTGCCAGTACTTAGGGAGCATTCACATCGAGAAGAGCCAAGGTCTAGTAAGGCCGCAGCCTAAATATGGCGGACCTACATGAAAGGAAGACCGCTAATCTTTTAATGGTCTCTCCGCCTCTCACGTGCCCCCATACAGTGTCCCTCGACCAGTTGAATTGAGCTGAGATTTAATTACTGTGCTCCTGCAGGGACGACGCTTGGTGAGGATTAACAGGATTAGCGGTCTTCCTTTCATGTAGGTCCTGCCATATTTAGGTTGGGGCCTTACTAGACCTCGGCTCTTCTCAATGTGAATGCTTCCTTAGCTAAGGTGTCCCAAGTTGACTTTAAATACAACCAGACTGTTGAACTGCCTGGTCTCCAAGGAGAGTATATTGTTTCATTCATTGTGGAAAGAAGTTACTGTTTCCATGGCAAATGACATGGTGAATCTCTTGTTGCATGAACACTTCACTTATGCTTGGCATTTCAAAAGTGTGCAGAAAACACAGAAATCAATACACTTGAGAAATTAAAAGTTCATTATATGGCAAAATATACAATAATGGGGATTTATATATATGTAATCTCAGTGGTGATACAGTTATAGAAACAAGAGACTCATTAAGTTTCTGTAGATTTCAGAAATGATATTAAGAGTATTTAGTGTAATAGTAATGCTATCCTTATTTTAGATTTAGGCTTTCTTATACCCCGTTCACACTACAGTTGCAAAAATGCGCATTTCTATAATCCGAATTTTTCGTGAGGAATTCGATTCGGTATTGCGTTCACACACGCTAAGCGAAACCGAATTACACGTTGAAATTTTCAGGTTTAACTTCCTGTTTTGAACACTCGCGCATGCGCCGCACAGGAAATCTTAAAATACCAACAAAAATTTGTGACGACAAATGCAACTCTAAAGACATTCTAGCATTCTTGTGAAGTATAAGATGGCAAAATAAGTTTATTTCCTCATGTTGTAGTGAGTGGTGACCTCCAAATACGTTTGGTGCAATCGCTAAAGTAATAGGCCTAAACAAGCGTTCATAGATACTCGCACTTATCTGCACACATGCGCAGTTAGATCTGTACAGGTGTCGATTCCGGTAAGTTATCCGGATCGCGCTTAGAAATCCACCTCGCTTGCAGGATTTTGAAAATGCGCATTACAAAAATCCTCTTGCGTTCACACTACTGCATTTATTCGAATTGTGACCTAATTCGCAATTTATCCGGATAACTGAGCGTAGTGTGAACGGGGTATTAGATGTTTAGTTCAACTCTTGGTTTGTAGTTTCTCAAGTACATATGGGCATTAAAAATTTTTAGCAATAAAGTTATTACTGGTGCTTAAAACATTAAGACTTTATTTGGCTTAAGCCTTTGAATGTGTAATAGCAGGTTATTTTAAGGATAGCAGTGGGTAAAGAACTTAAAAGAGTTTTGACATTCATTTTATGTACCACCTGTAAGCTGAGGCAAAGAGACAAACTTACATAAGCAATTATAACAAGTGTTTGTGTATGCATGACGATTTTTGCTGGGATCTGGAATGGCCATCTTAAACTGTACATGTCTTATTGTTGAGCTGTGATAAGGCAGACCTTTTTTTTAGTCATTCATGTATTAAAGCCGAAATTGTACCAAAAATGTGTTCCCATGTATTCTTGATAGCACATTGTTGATTCTACTGATATCCATAATACATGTAATTTCAGGCATGCTTCTGATAAGTGTTTTAATGGTGTGAAAGGGAAGACAATTTTCATATTTGAAATATTCATTTACTTTTGCTGGCTTGTTTTGTTCACGTTTCTTGTTGTCCTATATCCACTTTGTTTTTGATTTTCAGTTAAAGCATAAGCACAAATTACTGACATCAGAGAGGCTAAAGAGAGCAGCAGGGCTTGCCGACATAGATCTATTTAAACAGGAATTGAAGCCTTTTCTGAAAGTCAGAGTATCAGGCACACCTGCAAATGTTGAAGTTCAAGAAGTAAGCTATTTATTTGATTTTCATTTCTGTGTGTTTTCCAGTATTTTTCAAGGTGGTTATGATTATAGATATTTGTAGTTCTAAGCTCATACCTATTAACTATACTGTTAAACTGATAATTTTTTTTCAACAAAATTTTTTCATGGAAATAAGTTCCCAGACTGTTGACTTAACAAAAGGAAGATAATATCTTATAGCTTTCTTTAAAATATTTGGTTTACAATATGCCACTCCTTTTTAGTATCTCTAGTATCTAAGTGTAGGCATGGCTGAATTAAATCCACCTAACTTACCACATTTTTGCTATATTCAGATCTTGAGAGCCTCTCATTCAAACTACATATATTGATAAGAAAACAAAAGTGGATTTCCTTACTTTGTGTACACACTCGTATTAACTCGAGATAATTACGAACATATACACAGACTTCCAGTACTTTTAAGTTATTTATGAGTCCGTTGTATGTGTAGGAAAGAAATGTCTTTAGTTAAGAAGCAGTTCTATTTGAAAAAGGATTATTTAGAGGGATGAGGAAAAGAAAAAAACTACTTTCCTTCACAAAGTTAATCTGGTTGTTTTGAAGTTATAATAAAAACAAACCATATTCTCATAATAGACTGTTTAATTTTATTTCATTAAATTTTGTGATGTTTTTTGATAGCATCATTTGTTCAGCAGTTGTGAGCATAAGGATATTGTAACCATTTATTATCATCCAGATACTGAAAATGAGTTTTTTTCTGGATATAATCATTCAATAATGCATTTGTCTTTGTGCTGATTTACAACAATGAAAAAACCCAATGGAAAAACTATCCATAAATGATAGAATTAACTGCAACTAGCAAATGTTTTAAGGGGTCAAATGAGGCACTGTCAGAATTATGTGGTTATTTTCCAAAGTGCTGTAATCTCTTAAAATGCTTTAGAAAGTGACAAAAATGTTTCACCCAAAAGATTGGCCTTGTAGTTTGTATCATTAGTGAGACTTCTATTTTCCTACAAGTTGAATTTGTCGAGTATTGTAAAAACCCTAATTTGATCACTAGCAAAAAAAGCAGCGATCTTCTCTCTCAAATTCTAAGGGACCATCTTCAATTACATTTGCATTGTAGTACGTAATTTTCTCGCATCTTTACATATAATTTACCAACACACAGGGATAATTAAAAAGCAATGGGGAATTGGCACATACAGTTCTGTTCAGGATATCACTTAGACGGCTATTTGATACAGGGGGAAGACCAGTTAGATATCCAATAAAGGTTTATTAAGAGAAATGTATAGGGAAGACTGGACTGCCAGTTTTGGCTTGAATTAAGTTTAGAACGAGTGATAATATCAAAGTCTTGCAAAAGTTTGAAGCTTTTATTATTATTTTAAAATATTGATGAGAATATAGATGTTTTCTTTTATGTTTACCAGCACATCAAGTCTCGTATGTCTAGCCTTGGATGGCAGGTGGAAGAAGATTCTTTTGTGGACACAACACCATACGAAGACAAAAACTTCAACAACATTATTGCAACATACAATCCCCAAGCCAGGCGGAGACTTGTATTAGCATGTCATTTTGATTCTAAGTATTTTCCAAACGCACACTTTATTGCTGCAACTGACTCAGCTGTGCCCTGTGCAATGATGATACATTTGGCTGATTCACTGAAGGAACTGCTAAAAAAAGGCAGTGGGGATGGTGTGAGTGTTTCCCATCAGTATCATTTCTGTATATCAGTCCTGACATGTTTAGTTTTATCTTACATTGTTTTTGCACATCACTAAATGTAATCATGATAATTAATTGCTTTTTAAGTCTGTACAAGGTTACTTTGTTCAACCCACCCAAGAGTATCAAGAGTATTTGTGGCCGCCAGCTAATTAATTGATCTTTTTTCATTAAATCAAAGGATTATCAAAAGCTTTTTTTGTCGTTGTTCAGATCTTTGTTGATCATTTTTTAAAACTGAATCAGTATTCTTCTACTGACAAGGTTAATGTACTTTAAAACATTTGTTCCACCTTTCAGGCAAAAGATATATCATTGCAGCTTATATTTTTTGATGGCGAAGAAGCTTTTAAACATTGGACCAGCACAGACTCGATTTATGGTGCTAGGCACTTAGCTGCCAAGTTAGAAAACACCAAATTCCCTGCAGAATCCTCAGACAATTTCAACACAAATGAATTGCACAGGATGGTAGGTATAATTTACAACATAATCTATAGATTCAAATGATCTGTTAAATGTTACTTAAGGTGTGAGTTTTTCCAAAAGCAATAATTGTTACTAGTACCTCATTTGGGTGTTTCTCTAGGCTGGCATTTTTTTTTTTTTTTTTTTTTTTTTTTTTCAATCAGCAATTCTTTAAAAAATTTAGATTCATTTGAATTCTGTTGTGATCATCATTCTCTCTTCAGTTGATTTCCTCTCTTATCCTCCCTAATTTTATTTGCTAACATAATTACATCTAAAAATATTCACCCAAGAGCCATCACAATTCCTGGCAGGGGCTGGGGTGGGGTATTTCGTTGTTGAATTTAGATGTGTTGTTTTCTGTTGCAAATATCAGTGTGTTAAATCTGCCTTGATAAACCACTGACTGTACATGTAACAGTCTTGTGACATAAATAATTCAAACCGATCAACCTACATAATGTCTTGAATGTCATGCCAATAACAAAGCGTTTCTCATGTTATTTTAGAATCTCTGATATAGCCAATTATCCAAACATTTTCTGTTCTGGTAAAGGTCTTTTTTGACGTGTTTTCTTGGGTTTCATTCAACGTTTTTATAGAGTGTCTAAATAAGAAAAATTGAAAATATTTTTTCTAGAAGATATGTAAGATAAAGGGATCATGTATTGAATATATCTAATCTTCAAATAATGTATTTATGCTGATTGTTTTAATGTTTAATCCCTGGTGTGAGGGTGATAATATAACATCATGTTTTGTTTTCCAGAGATCTGCATATTATCTATTCAGTTGACAGACTAACTGCCACATATATTTATTTCTCCCTTTAAATATCCTTCACATCAATTTGAACAGAAAAGCGGAAGATATTAGAAAAAAAAATTCTCCTCAATAGTGAATTTATGTAAGAGGGTTCCATTACCATGGAGTTTACAGGCTCTCAATGGATGGCAGTATAAGTTAGAATGCCACTGATTGATGAAGATTTTTTGTCAAATAATTAGTCATTCACTAGACAATAAGTCTTGATTGAAAACTGCTAGGCCTGTCATTTATCATACTTGTACTCTGAAATTACTCTAAGGCCGCATTCACATCGAGAAGAGCCGAGGCTCTACAAAGCCGAGAACTAAATATGGCGGACATACATGAAAGGAGAACTGCACCGTACATGAAAGGAAAACCGCCTAATCTTTTAATAGTCTCTCCTCCTCTCACACGCCTCCCTTCGCGTCGTCCCAATGGTACCGAGATTTAATGACTGTACCCCCACAGAGACGAAGGGTGGGGAGGCGTGTGAGAGGCGGAGAGACCATTAAAGGATTGGCGGTTTTCCTTCTATGTACGTCCGACATATTTAGTTCTCGGCTTTGTAGAGCCTCGGCTCTTCTCGATGTGAATGCGGCCTAAGGGGCCATTCCCAGACCCTATCATACTAACTATGGATTGATCTATCTATGAGGGGATTCTCGCTAAATTGCAATCAACTTTGATGTCTGTTACGCCTACTGAAGCTGCTAGGGGGTAATTAATTTAGCAGATTCAGTAGGCATGACAGACTTTTAAACCGCTTAAGCTGAAAGCAATTTAGCGAGAAACCCCTCTTAGATGGATCCATCTTGTTAGATCCATCTAGGTATGGGAACCAAGTCTAAATAGTATTTATTTCTGGAGAGTAGTATGCAGTACAGTACTGAAGTAGATAATAATCATATATTGAGAGGCTGATATCCCAGCCTATCTTAGTGCTAAGTCATTTTCCTTTTCTGAATCTGATACCTAGCACCACTTGTTACTTTTAGTTTACCTTTATATATATATATATATATATTGCAATATATATATATTGCAATTATAGGAGCCCTATACAACATTTTACACAAAAAAATGTATACTGTCAGGCTCTTTAAGCCTTCCTAGTTAGACATCTCACATCTTTCTCTACCAATATCATCATGTTGCATGCATGAGTTTTGATGAGCTGTGATCATCTAGTATCAGGTATTGTTTGCCAGCCATGCATGTAGCCTGGTCGGGACTAATTGGATCCTAATGTCGCTGGTTCTAATCTGATTTCTCTTGAGGGTCCCCCTGGGTTTTGCACATAGTGATTCACTTATTTAAATGGCTGGCTTAATGTCAGCAATAGTGTCTACTCTAATAGATCTTTTGTTTGATGATGGAGCCAAGAGGATCATGCTTTGAATGAAGTTTTATTGTGGCAAATATGGAGCAAAACTGTTAGAGAATGCAGACATGCTGAAACTGTCGGTCCGATCGGTCATGACCGGGAAAACTTGTCTGGACCAGTAAAAAATTGGACTCGGTCGGTCCAAAGGACTGACAAGAGTTTTAAGAGCTGCAGTTTTGAATTTACAGGCATCATTCAACATATGTCACTCATAAAATTATATAAAACCCAAAGCGTTTATCCCTTCCATTTTAAACCTATCACATTCACAAACAAAGTAAGCTACCCTAATCGTACTGGTAGTATCTGTCTCAAACGAATAGAGTGATTTTTGGTCCGACAAAAATCCATTCGGTCCAGCAAATTTTTCATTACTGCCGGTGTAACATGAAAATCTGACTCCCATGAAAATGTGACTCCCCAGTCAGATTTTCATAATGAAAATCTGACTCCCCCCGTGAAAATTTGACTCCCCCATCATAAAACTTCATAAAACTTATTTTATTTTGAGTATATGACTGTGATCTTGTAGTATGTAAAATGGATGATACGTTGGCACATTTTTTGNAAAATTAAAAATGTGCACATAATGAAAATGTGGTTCCCCTATGAAAATTTGACTCCCCTACAAAAAAAAAAAACATTCATTAATCTCTAATTAATTTAGTATATGACTGTGATCTTGTAGTATGTAAAATGGTTATGAAAATGAAAATTTGACTCCCCCTCCACAAAACTTCATACATCTTATTTTATTTGAGTATATGACTGTGATCTTGTAGTATGTAAAAAGCAGGATAGATTGGCACATTTTTTTGTAGTTTGCAGTGAGAATTTTAATGAACAAATAAGAAAATTAAAAATGAGCACATAATGAAAATCTGACTCCCCCATGAAAATTTGACTCCCCCATCATAAAACTTCATAAATCTTATTTTATTTTGAGTATATGTCTGTGATCTTGTATTATGTAAAATGGTTGATAGATTGGCACATTTTTTTTTTTGTAGTTTGCAGTGGAAATTTTAATGAAAAAATGAGAAAATTAAAAATGTGCACATAATGAAAATGTAGTGTTTTGACATGGGAGTGCAAACCTACAAGAATAAAGATGGATACTTGTTTTAAAAGTATGGGGAGTCACATTTTCATAATGAAAATCTGACTGGGGAGTCACATTTTCATGGGAGTCAGATTTTCATGTTACACCGGGCCTTTGACATAAATATGTGGGTCCATCACCATGAAGTTTAAAAAGTCCAAAAAGGTGGTCAAAACCATTTCATCAATGTTTTTATCCGGTATAATAATAATAATAATAATAATAATAATAATAATAATAATATAAATAAATAAATAAAAATGCATTTAACTTGTGTTACATAAAAATGTGTTTAGTTTTGTATATTTCATTATAATTTGCATGCTGTGACAGTATGAATGCATGCACTATTTTTTTGTATTCCAAACCCAAGGTCACTGTTGTGTATGAATACACTACTTCCTGTGAAAAGTAGTTCCATTTCATGAAAAATGGTCGTCTGCTAGTTTTATTTGCAAAGAACAATCCACAAAGTCAGGAAAATAAGGTATTATCCAAAGTACTTCAACATTTAATTTATTTGTGTGTGTTAACAACAAACTGGTGATGAAATGTCTTTGAATCTAGAAGTGGTAAGACATCAAGAAACTTGACAAAGTACATGTGAGAAGTTAGGTATATCTAAGCTTTCATGAACAGCTACAAGATGAAGAATATGAAGAATTGGACTGTTCTGTTGTGAGACTTGAGTTGTTCTTTACTGACAAATGGACAAGAAGTTCAGGGATTAAACAATGTAAGATGTTTTTCTTGTGACTTAATAAAAATACAAATAAAGCATACTATAAATTCCATTAAAAAGAGTTCTTCATCATTATTCAAAATCCTAATCACTAATGGGTTCATGGAAATTGGTCAGTAACAGTAAAGTATTAACTATAGAAAATGTCTCCACTCTACATACATTTTTACTAAAGCACAGCTGTGTGCTCACTGAATTTAAATATGCTTAAAAGTTTTTTTATTGAAATAAAGGCAAACATATTCATGGATAAAAACATTGTAAGACTAATTAACTTTCAAATTTTTTACATAATAATCATATCTATCCACAGTTAATACATGTTACTCACCTTGTTTCAGTTCAATGTACTGGAATGTCTTAACATTGCCCCGCCACTCTACCACCACCAGCTGACCAGTAGCAGGGTTGATGACTACTGCAGTGGAAGACCACAACCCATCATCCTTAGTGACAATGTATCTGATAAACTGTCCCTGTGGACTCAGTGCCACTATCCTGCGGTTACCACTGTCAGCAATGAAGATGTGACCATAGCTGTCTGTGCACACTCCATGTGGTGACCTCAGTTCACTGCCTTCTCTGCTGCCGTCATACTTGTACAGATGATCACCAGTAGGTGACAGCACATGTACACAGTGTCCCCCCATGTCTGATATCACAATGTTATCATTCACACTGTTCACTGTGATGTACACTGGGTGTTCACACATACTGAGTAGAATAGTGTTCAGGAGCTGTCCACTGTCTGCATGGAATGTGAAGATGGACTTCTTTCCAGTGTCACAAACCATCACATGACCTTGTCTGTTCAGTGTAATACCCCGTGGTGACCCCAGTAGACCCTGACCCATGGTTGTCACCTGCTGACCTCTGGTGGAGTACACTTGAACACATCTGTCACCATATGATGTTATATACAGGTGACCAGTCTGTGACACAGCCACATCCCGTGGTTTGTTTACTTTAATGTCAAACTTAAATTGTCCTTCATGTGTGAATACTTTTGTTCTGTTGTTTTCTCTATCCACAACAAACATGTGTTCCTTATCTATGGCTAACCCAGTTATGTAGGTTATTCCTCTATCATCTTCCAGTTTAGGACTGAAC